ACGAAACTCGGGTCTTTAAAGACAATAAAAACATGGATTATAAAGTACTTAGTCTATCTAAAAAATTAAACTAAGCTGTATAAATAAATATAATTGTGTGTCTAGGCATAGATATATAGATATAAAATCAATGCAGTTCTGTAGCAATCGTAAATTGTTTTCATTGAGTTATTGGTGAGATCATTAGCCAGATATTTTTATAGAAAATAGTGTAGTGCTCTTGTTTTAGTAATTTCTAATGATGTGGTTGAAAGAAGTAAGGTCTTGGGAGTCCAATATGGATTTAGATTCTAAAACTGTAGCTACTTTCTTATTGACTGATGTTTTCCAAGTTATTTAACTGCTTTACTTATCAAGTTTCTTTACCTGAAAGCTGTTTTTAGAATTGCTGAATTTAAAAAGACTTTCAATATCAAGTACAGACAAGGATTTGAAGAATTTGGAACTGTAACACTTTGCTGAAGGAGTGCCAAATAGAATGGCTAACTTGGAAAGCAGTTTTTTAAAAAGTTAAACATGTACTTACCATCAGACCAAGGAATTTCACCCCCAAGTATTGTCTGGAGAGAAAATAAACATATGCGTACACAAATACTTCCATGTGGATGTTTATAGCAGTTTTATTCATAATTATTAAAACCTGGAAACAATTGAAATGTATATTAACTAATATTAGTAGATAAACAAATGGTGGTATATCCATATAATAGCAAGGAATGGACTGCTGAGACATTCAACAAAATTGTTGGCTATTATAATTTTTATGCTGAGTGATTCTATTGCCATGTTTAACGAAAAAGAACAAATAAAAATATTTATGCTATGTTAAATAAACCTGACATAAAAATCTGCAAACTGAATAATTCCATTTATAATGACATCTGGAAAAAGCAAAACTAGAAGGACATGAATCAGGTAAGTAGTTACCAAGGGGTGAGATAGAGAAAGGGTATTGACTACAAAGGAGAATTGGGCAATATTTTGGGATGCTGGAAATATTCTGTATCTTGTGTTGGTGGTTATATGACTGTAAAATTTGTCAAAATGTTGAATTTTACAGTATATAAATCATCTCAGTAGAAAGGAAAGAAAAATGTTTTATATTTCAGGGTAATTATGGAAATTTTAAAAGATCATTCTTCTTCCCCATGTTGTCTTCTGTTTGGTTCTTCCTTATTCTCTGCTTCTTCTATGTTTCGCAAATTTAAGATCTGTGATGAATTGCTCTTTCTTATTTCAGGGCTATTATGCTACAACAAAATTTAGGTCTATCTGTCTTGATCTGCAGTCCCAATGTTGGACTTTAAATTAAGTCATCAACTTTATTTTTAAAGTTCTGGATGTCTCAATTAGTATTGAATATCTCAGAGCTGACATTTTTATACTTTGTAAAATATGCCAATAATACCTGCTTCACATCAATTCCTTTTTGTCCTGTGGCAGTGGGAGTACACCGTATGGTTAGGAGGATATACAAAGCAGTCATGGATTCTGAGCCTGAGTTCTGCTTGAGAAAGCTTTCCTCTACTTCTCTGTAAACCATGTTCTATGCCAGTGGTTCTAAAATATGAGCAAGCATTAGAACTACCAGGGAGGACTTAAAACATAACTTGTTCACCCTGCCGTCCCCCTGCCCTATTTACTGATTTTATAGTTCAGGACCCAAGAATTACCATTTCTAACAAACTTTCAAGCAATGTTGATGATGCTGGTTTGGGATGCACCCTAATAAATACTAATTTATACTTCTTTTGTTGCAGTGTCAAAAATTCAGCCCATGTATGAGAGCCAACATTTGGGTTTTAACTGCTTCATCATTTCATGGCGTGTGTGTGTGTGTGTGTGTATGTACATATGTACATACACACAGAGAATGAGACTGTGTATGAATAGCAAACACTTGGATAGAGACCACAAGGCTTGATGTCTGAAAGATAGAAAAATGGTACTGGCAAGAGAAAAAGGAAAAAAGATGTGCAGCTGCACATTCTTTTAATCTCCTGAGTGTCATTATACTACATCATAATTGTTTTATCCCTTTGGCAATAAACTCCTTTCAGGCTTCTATTCTATTTTAAAAACTCTGAACTCTTATTTATTTTTGTATTGGGGATGGAATACAGAGATGCTGTACCACGAGCTATACCCAAGCCCTTTTAATTCATTTATTTATGTTTAATTTTGAGATAATCTCACTACGTTGCCCAGGCTGGCCTTGAACTTGTGTTCTTTCTTCATCAGCCTCCTCACATGCTGGGCTTACAAGTGTGTGCCACTGTACCTGGCTGAAGACTCTTACTAGGTCTCCTGTGGCCATCAGCCTACAGTATTCACAACTGAGACTTTTCATTGCCTAGTTTGTAATAAATAGGCCCTTCCTCCTCACACTGAAATTTCATGGTTATTTCCTCCCCCATCCAAGATCAATAGAAATTTTTACTGAATGAAACCAAAGTACCATAAACTGCATGATTTGATAACATTCTGAGATGTTTGGGTGACTGATTTGTGTCAAATAATTTCCTAGACCAAGAAAGAAAAAATCCTAATGATTTTAATAACACTACATGTAACAGAAATATGAATAAACCCTAGAATTTTAAAAACAGTTTGTAAGTGTTAAATTTAAAGAAGTCACAGATTGTTTTTTCTTCTTCCCAAATGCTAAAGAAGATATTGACACCAAATTCCAAAGCAGATATTGAGGGCTATCTACATAAATTTGTTCAGAATTCCTACTATGTTAAGGTTGTATATTATGCTGTGCAGTAATGATATCTGCTGATTATTCTCTGTGATAGATTAAATATAGTATATTATACTTATAGCTGATGTCCCTTTATCCCTCTACCACTACCTCACTGATTATTGAGAGTCTTTAGAGAAAATAGCTTATTGCATTGGATGATTACATGCTTCAATTGAATAGTAGCTTACTGCCAATTATCATTACAATGCCATATTGATTTTTCTCCTTTCCATTATGGAAATTAAAGCAGAATTTGTTTAGAATGAGCATCCATATATATTATAGATGTGACTAGTTCTTAAAATGTGCTATTTCTAAATGTACTTTCTTCAGTGATCTGGTCATTCTTACTGATAGGCTCTTATAAATGTAGGTCTCTCCTATGTTGATAAGCTTTACCTTAGTTAGGGATAAAGTGGATAAAGACTGTGGAATGGAAATATGTGCATGGTTTAACTATTTGGAGTATGAGGCTGATGATGTTGCTCTGTAGTAGAATACTTGCCTAGCATGAAGGAAGCCCTGGGTTTCATTCCAGCACCAGGGGGCGGGAGGAGATAGACCATAGATTTTAATCATTGTTTCACAGAAATCTGCTATATATTTATTTTGATGTATGAACTTCATGGGCAACATGAGACTGGTTATTCTCTTAACTACACACATTAATAAATTCATTAAATTTAAATTAGTCAACAAATATTTATGGACTATATATAAACTACTATGGTAAGTGAAATAGTAGCTAGAAAGATAAATGAAATAATGTACTGTCTTTAGAGAATTCATAACCCAAAGGGGTAGGTAAGCCATGTGTGTCAAGAATCATAATGTCAGTGAGGGTTCTTAACAAAAAGAATTTGTATATTGTTGGAGGACTTATAGGGGAAAGACATTAATGGTTCGAAACAGTCCTTTTGAGATTTGAAGGTTTATTGAGATGGTGTTGGGGTGACCTTTTGGAAGAAAGAATAAATGAACTAAAACAGGGAATTGCAAGTAGGACTACAGGAACAATAATTTGTTTGATTTTATTGGTACATATAGTATAAGGTCTTAGGCTAGAAAGCTAAACTGGGGCTAGATTAGAATGTTGGGCCAAATTATTTATATGTATTAGGTAGTTCAGGGGAAATTGTTGGAAAAAAGACTATGGTTAAATGCAATTTAATCTGGCAGTTAATAAAATGAACAAATGAAAAAATGAAGCTACAGAGACCTCATTTGGGAGTCTCCAGGTATATTAAAGGAAAGGTTAATAGGGCTAAACTAGACTTTTAGCATAGACAACAATGACAAGGAAGGAAGGGGCATTTGAGGAATAATTCTAGAAAATTTATGCCTGGATGCCATAAAGTTAGGTCAAGTTCTATTTAATCTGTCTTCTAGCCTTCTACCACACATGGGATTTGATCTCCTTAGTCAGTCCTCTCCAATGCCCTGATCTCCTCACAGTTTCTGGAGCATTTCAAACATACTATTTAACACCTCAGGAAACAGTGCCTTTAATCCTTGTACTGAAAAATTTTTCACTTCCTTCAGGGCTCTGCTCAAATGTTACCTTAACTGAGGACCTTTTGCTGACCACATACTGAAAAGTAGCATCTTGGTTCTCCATTTTATTTAATTTACCAAATGTTATTTTTCTTCCTTGCATCAATGCACTGATATTTATTATAGTTGGTTATTTGTTATCACCTGTCTCCCTCTTTCTACATGGTTGTCTTCATGAGTATAAAGGGCTTAGTTTTGTTGTCTATCATAGCTCTGTCACCTAAAACATGCTTGGTATAGACACTCAGCAAATATTTGTTGAATCCACAAACAGAACAAATGCAAAGGGGAAGTAGAATGGGAGATCAAACAATTATAGAATATTTCAAGTATGAAGGATTCAAAGGGTCATAATGTTATTAACAGAATGTTGAAGAATGGAAGAGGAGTTGATTTAGAGGATTGGAAATGGGAAGATAAATTCAGCCCATAAATTCAGACTTAACTATATGATACTAGTGAAACAACCAAGGCAGTGCTGTTTAGTGGGCAATCAAAAATGTGAAGAAAGTTCTTGGATTTAGGAAAAGAGCTCTGAGTTATGCATATACAGTCAGTATTTGAATCAGTATCAGCAGAGAAAACAATAGTAAGATAACATTATCAGAAATGAAAATCAAAATGTCATTCTGAATATTTAATGTCTTAAATACATTAATTTAATCATACTCTTTTTGTTTGTGTGTTCTTTTTATAGTTGGGTTAACAACTTTGGACATGAAGGTCTCGGGCTCTTATTGGATGTTCTGGAAAAGATTCTGGACAAAAAACTGTAAGAATAAACATTAAAAATTTTTCATCAAAGGGGAAAATTTGAAGTACAAAAACCTTATTATTTTTTTCTTAGGCAAGAAAATATTGACAAGAAGAATCAATATAAACTCATTCAGTGCCTCAAAGCATTTATGAATAATAAGGTAAGTAGTATTTACTTCTGCCTTTGTTACAAAAGGGGAAAACTTGCTTGACAATGTGAAAGTATGAAACAGATGAGATAGTATTTATTTAATTTACAAAATGTCTTTATGATGCAAATCATAAGTTTCATTGAAAGACTATTTGAAATATACTTTTGTTTTATACAGTATTTATTAGTAGGTATTGCAATCATGTAAACATCAGTCTTGTTTTCAAATTAGAAATACTTTTATTTTTCTTTTACAGTAGTAGTTAAAGGTCATAAGTTGGAAGACTATTTCTATATGGTTTTTATTCCATTGAAAAAGAAAATTTATTGGTCAGGTTTGACTTGGTTTCTATGAACATCATAAAGTTAATATTCTCTTTTATGTTCAGTAAATGTCATTTATGAGCATTATGGTTTGTAAATGTGATGCCCCCCCCAATCCTTTGTGTGAATGCATGGACATTCAAAGGTGAAATGATTGGATTGTGAGAGTTCTAATTTATTTAGTCCATCCTAGTTTGAATGGACTAACTGGGAAGTAAGTATAGGTAGGTGGGGTGTAGCTGGAAGAAGTGGATTACTGCATCATGCCCTGGAAAGTTTCATCTTCCCTGCATCCCCCATCCCATCCCACTCTACTTCCTTACTGCCTAAAGGAGAACAGCTTACCACTGCCACACTCTCACACTCTTTCCCCATGGTGTGCTGCCTTATCTTGGGACAAGAGCAATGGAATTGGCCATCTATGAACTGGACTTCTAATATCATGAGCCAAAATTAATGTTTCTTCCTCTAAGTTAATCTTTTCAAGCATTTTGATCACAGTGACCCAAAGGTTGACTAAAACAGAAATTGGTACTGAGAAGTAAGATCATTGCTGTGACTGATCTGACATCGTGGTTCAAAAGCCTTTGGAAATGGTTTGTGGGATAAATTTGGAAAAGTTTGGAAATGCATGCTGGAAAGCCTTAGGATATTTTAAACAGAGCTTAATGGATGATTCTGATGGCAACCCAGAAGACCAGAATGCTGATAAGAGTGAGGGCTATGATCTTGAGGTTTCAGAGAAAAATGAAGACTTTGTTGGGAATTGGACTAGAGGCCTTTTAATGTTACATTCTGGCAAAGGACCTGTGTACAATTTATTTGTGTCCTGAGACTTTGTGTCGAGCTTAATTTAAAAGTGATGAACTAATTAATCTGTCAAAGGAAATTCAAGGCAGCACAGCATTCAATCAGTGGCATTGATATTACTGGCAGCTTTTAGCCAGGTTTACTCTGACAAACAGGAGCAGATAGCAGAAGTAAAGTATTTTAAAAACCTGTAGTTTGACCAAAAACATGCATGTACAATTAATGCCAAGAGAGTTGTGCTTGTTGAAGATATTATGGTACCTATAGAGACCCTAAATACATCACAGAGAAAATAGGAAATATGGCTTGAGGACATCTCAGGAATTTGTATGACCATACCCTTGTTGGCTCTAGGGTGTAGAAGGGAAAGTTCCTTTGAGAATAGATCACTGGGATTCACTGCTTTCACAGGGGTACCTAGGAAGTTGTACTCAGCCATCCAGAAACTCAGAGTCTGTAGAAGCCATGATTCCATAGGGCTCAGGTATTGTAAGAGCTGGCAGCAGACCTTGGTGTCATCCATGTGGTGTTGGTTCTTCTGGAATGCAGGATGCTAAAGTTAAGGGGTCGGTCATGGATGCTTACACTGAGATTTAAAAGGAAGGCCTGGGAGGCCAGGGAAAGTGTAACACTGTCTGTCTATGAGAGGGCAATGCATGAAGCTGTAAAAGTGAAGCCAGAGCTGGAATGGAGACCCTAGGAATTAGGAGATTCCAGTAACATGGACTATCAGCCTAGAAAAGCTGCTGGCTATGGAGCAAGCCAGGTTAAAAGATAGCCCAAGTGCACTGTAACTAGCCAGACCAAAGAGGGGAGGGGTAGAGCTGCCCATGTCCTTTGGAGAGTACATCTTACGGTTGTGTGACTTGCTGTAAGCATATTTAGTGGATTTGTTTGCCTGGCTGACTTTAGACTTGTTTTAGCCCCACCTTTTTTTTTTCTGTGCCCCTATTCCTCCCTTTGGAATGGGAGTGATTATGCTGTGCCACTATATTGGATAAATCTAACTTTCTTTTGATATTTATAGGAGCTTATAGCCAAGAGACCAAGAGTTTGCCTTGAGTCTCAGAGGAGACTTGTTTGTTTGTTTGTTTGTTTGTTTGTACTGGGGATTGAAGTGGGGCAGGGGTGCTTAACCACTGAACCACATCCCCAGTCCCCTTTTAAAATATTTTATTTAGAGACACGTTCTTGCTGAGTTGATTAAGGCCTAGCTGAGTTGCTGAGGCTGGCTTTGAACTCGAGATCCTCTTGCCTTAGCCTCCCGAGCCACTGGAATTACAGGTGTTGCGCCACCAGGCCATCTCAAAAGAGACTTTGAATTTCACTTTTGGGAAGTATGAAAACTGTTCAGACTATGGGAGTCTTGGGGATAAACTAAATGTGTTTTGCATTGTGAGAAGAAGATGAGCTTTTGGGGGCGGAATGTTATGGTTTGCATGTGAGGTGTCCTCCGAAATCTCCTGTATTAGTGCAGGGATATTCGGAGATGAAATGATTATGAGAGATGTAGTCCAATCAGTCTATACTAGTTTGAATGGATTCAGTGGATTTTAACTGTAGGCAGGTGGGATGTGTCTAGAAGAGGTGGGTCATTGGACGGGAAGGTTGCATCTGCTCGGTAGCCCCATTGCTCACCTCTCTGCTTCTGTGCTACCATGAGAGGAGAAACTTCCCTTTGTCCTGTCCTTCCCCCATGATATGTTGCCTCACCCTGGGTCCAGAGTAATGGAGTCACCTGTCTACTGTGAGCCAAAGTAAATGTTTTCTTCTCTAAGTTGTTTTTGGCAAATATTTTGGTGTCAGTGATGCAAAAGTTGACTGAAACCTTAATGACATCTCTGGAAGATAGAAGGGCTTTATTTTTTGTATAATACCAGTTGTGTAATTAAGAACTATATGAATTTTAGGCTTTTTATTAGTGTCTTAGAAATGATGTAACCTTTATACCTACAGGTAAAATACCATTGATTAATTCACTTAATTACATAATTGCCTTTAGATGGCATTCTATAATCTCAAAGTGCCTAATAGAGATATGTAATTATATGGAATCTTGCCATATGTGAAATAAAACTATTAATAACCAATGAAATAAAATTTTGTATTTAAGGAATCTGCAGTCTTTCTTAGGCATATGAAGTTATATAATCATCATATATAATTTATGTACATATATCAATGAAAAATATTATTGGCACATGTGGTAGATGCTTGTTAGTAGACATGAGATTCTTAAATACACTTATAGTGCTGTTTCTGGAAGTTTTTCACAGAAAGATCCCTATCCATATTAGTACAGAATTTTTCAACTGCTGTGCTCTTAGTCTGTGGTTACAATGTTATGCAAACTTTGATGGGTAATAAGAACGAACTTACTAAATGTTGCTTCTCCATGGTTTACCATGAATCTCTTTTCAACTGAGGGAAATAATGACATAATGGAAAGACAACATAATACTAGAAATCAGGGGTTCTGCTGAACTATACAGATTTCATGCTTTGCTACTAATAAGTTGAGTGGCCTCTGAAAAATAACTTCACCTCTCCAGCTAATCAGTCCACTCATCTGTAAATTGAACTATAGTACCCTTTGTTCTGCATTCTCATTGATTCATGTTGTCAGATGTCACAGTTTTCTAGGACACCAACTAATTATAATCAGTATAGTCACAAGAGAAAATTATATTGGTGAGATTTTCTATAGAGCCTTTTTCCCACAGAATATACCTTGTTATATCAACACATAAGTTCTTATTTTGTAAGAGTTCTGCAGTTTTTGAAGAACCTGTTAATTTGACTCAGATTATTCTAAACTAAGGGTAAGTTTCAGTTAGACCACATTTATGTCTTGCATGTAGGCACTTAGAACATGAACAATTGGATCATCTAAATTACAGGCATGTGAAATAATAGGCATAAATACATATTCAAAATAGAAAATATACTGTTTTGTATTAATTTCATGTGGAATAAATTGTCTAAATCAGAGAAGGAAACTTTAATCAGAAATTACTTAAATGTCAGGGTTTTTTTGGCCCCTTGGAGTTTAGATTACCTTCTGAAACTCTTCTCCCTGTGCAAGGCATATACTAATAAAATCATAAAAGTAAACCATTATTCCTTAGCTTCCATTTTGATAATATTGCTCTGATGTTTGGATTGATGGTTTTCCAGATACATGTCTAATATCTTTATATATTTAGTATGTCACTGCATTTAAAGAACATTTATATAATTAGTGAGAACCTCATTGCAGAGGTACAGATTTTTTGGGTAATTTGGATTTAATTGCTTTTTATTTAATGAAAGATGCTCCATAGACATTTCATTTTTGAATGAAAATTTTAGATTTCATATTTTCCTCTCTTTAGTTTGGATTACAAAGGATTCTAGGGGATGAAAGAAGTCTTTTACTATTGGCAAGAGCAATTGACCCCAAACAACCCAACATGATGACTGAAATAGTAAAAATACTTTCTGCTATTTGCATTGTTGGAGAAGAGAATATGTAAGTATTGCTGTACTATATTTATTGCATAGAAAACAACTCTTGAGATAAGTTTTACTTTTAATAAGTCTTACTTTTATTCTCTTTCATTGGATAAGTTGTATAAAAAAGTATTAGACTTTAGGGAATTTTTGATTGACACTTTTGTCTTGTATATTTATATTGTAACAGTTTTTGGAGATTATGGAAGCTAGATTTAAATAGAATCCTACAGGGGAATTTTTTAAAGCCGAATTTAAAGTGAATAAATAGAATGTTGTCTTGCCAAAGGTGAAGCCATCATTAGAAAAGTGGGCAAAATTTAAAAGTTAGTTATTTTGGCAGTCTCTCTCTCTCTCTCTCTCTCTCTCTCTCTCTCTCTCTCTCACACACACACACACACACACACACACACACACACACACACACCATGCTGCATATCACACAATTTTATGTCTGTAGTTGAATTGAATATATGCTTTTATTTTAGTGTAATTTTTTGGATAGCCTTCTAGTTTGAATACTTATGGTAATTGAAAAGATGAAGTACTTATTGGTAAGTGAAATTACTTAACTTTTCTTTTTTTCTTTGTTTTTAATAGGTGTGTGTGTATGTGTATGTATATGTATGTATATATATGCATATATATGTATATATATGTGTATGTCTATATGCACCAAATTTAGCAAGTATTGCTGAGTATGTTTTGGATCATATATTCCTATGGAAATGATATTGAATCCAAATCAAAATTTCACATTTATTTCATTAGTAATTTCAGTTTATAAGAAACCATTGTGTGAAAATTGAAATATGTACTATGGATATGAACTGAAATATTTTTCTCAAAACTTTGTGTGAGAGTAATAATTTCAGTTTGATTCAGAGGTGGACCATACAAATATTTAAGGAAATTTCAATATGCTGACTTTCTTATAATTGTTAGAAAAAATGAGATGTTGTTTAGTGCTAGCTGTTGTCTTCAGAACTCAAAAGACAAACATTAAACCTAAAATATTACCTATAATGTTAACTCTTTTCTCAGAACAAATGAAGTAACCTATGCAAAAGTAAAGTTTCCCTTGGCTTTATAAAAAATCAGCTTATACATGAATAAGAAATACTGTTTTTCTAGTCAAGTAAATTTCCATAACTTAATATTTAAAAGTCACCCTAGCCTGATATAATTGTTAGGAATTAATTTTAATTTCAGATATTATTTGATAAAAATAGAGTACTGCATAGAGGTGCATTTGATTTCAACATCATATGGTATAGTTATCAATATTTTTATCTAGGTAAACAAATTTATTGTGCTAGATAAGAATGTTTCTTCAATTACCTTGAATTTCGCCTTTGGTTTCTTTTTTCTTATTCTTTTATCAAAAAATGTTGATTAAAGTTATTTTTAAAATATTCACTCTATCCAGCCCTTTATTATTAAATCACAGTGTGTTTACACTAGAATAATCTATTAATTATAGACATCAAATTATACTTAAGTGATATGAAGATCTTTATTAACACATGATATTTCAAAACCTGAAAATTTAAATTTTAATGTGTTTCTATCAGGGATTCTTTTGAAGGTATCACTCAGAAACATTATTTTTCTCAAGACTTTTCTAATTGAATTTGAATTTTCATGCTCTAAAATTATTTAAAGTTATCAGTATTCAGCTTGTAGGAATATGTAGACAGTAGCTCAATTATTATATGATAATGATCTTTCAGTTGGAAAGAATAAATCAAAGAGATCTATTGTATATTATGTCTATAGCTGATAATGTAATCTGTAATTGAAAATAGATGAGTAGATTTTAATTAGTCTCTTTACACACACATACAGAGAGAGAGAGAGAGAGACAGAGATACAAGATAAGTCTGTGAAGTAGTGCAGATGTTAATTACCTTGATTGAACCATTTTACAATATATGCATATTTCAAAATATTATGTTGTACACTATAACTATACACAGTTTCATTTGTTGATGAAAAAAATTAAATAATTTTAAAACATGTAATGACATACATAAACATTATGCTCCAAAAGTAAAACTGGCAAGACTGAAAGAAATAACCCATGTTCATAATATATGTGTAAGAAGTATTTTTCATTTCTGTTTCTTTTTTTCCCCTCTGTAGTCTAGATAAACTTTTAGGGGCTATAACTACTGCTGCAGAGAGAAATAACAGGGAGCGATTTTCACCAATTGTGGAAGGATTGGAAAATCATGAAGCTTTGCAATTACAGGTAAGTTAGTTTTGTCTTAAATTGCTTCTTGGGTTGTATTTAGAGTACTCATTTTGTATGACAGTAACTCTATTTTAACTGGCTCTTAAATAGAATTGGGTATAAAAATAAAATCCTTCTTATTAGATGTTTTGTTTGTGATATTAATAATTTGTTTAATATTAGGAAAAATACTTTCGAATTATTATAGATATGGCCCTATGATTATAATTGTTATTCTACTTTAGTAATAATAATAAATCAGGAAAATTGAAGCCTTATCAGTCATCAGGGCCAAAGGGCAAGCAGTTTGGCCAATGCCATTGTTGTATCAAGTGTTAAAGAGCATATGAGAGGAATTTAAAACAATTAAGCCCATCTCTCTTTGTGCCATTCAGACAACAGTCAGAGGTCTGATTCAACCAGAAGAGAGGAGATTGAATTGTAATTCCTTTGTCACAGTTCATCTGATAATCCTGTGTAGCCTTAGCCAAAGTCTTTTCTTCAAGAAAATAATAAAACTTGCTGTCCTTTTCTAGGTGGTTCAGGAAATGACCTATGTTAACTTTATTCTTGAGGAATAAGAACTCATATTTATGGCGCATATTTATGATATGAGCTCCTAGACTAAACATTTTAATTTGCATATGTCATTTGATTTAATTCTTCCAACAACCCAGCTTTATAGGTATTAATATCATCTCTATTTTGCTCATAAGAATGAAGAGTAAATAACTTGTCCAAGGTGACACAGTTTGTAAGAGACGGAAATTGATGTCAGCTTTTTTGGTCTCTGATGCTAATACTCTTTATTTTAGATAATGTATGCCATTAAATTGCTGAATGGATTTTTTTTATGCTGTTGAACTGTCATTCAGCAAAGACAACAAGTTTTTATATTTAATTTTATCAAATAATTTACTAGTATTTAAATATTAAAATTTCTTATGAGAAACTAACACAATTAATTTTCTCCTTTTCAAAGTTATATTCTGAAATATATCTTTTTTTCTCTAGAGTTTGAAATTGTATCAGATAAATGAATTGGCTTGTTTAAAGAGAATATGTGATGTTAAGAAACCTTAATGCTTCTTCAAATATATAAGTGATTTTCTTAATCATGTGTTCTTCTAGTTCAACTATGATGAACATTTTAGATAAACTTTTATAGTGTGATTATGTCAAAGGTATTACATATTTAAAAGTTGGAATATTTTCTAAGTTTTTTTTACTAATACATTTCTTCTTGCCATAAAGCTTTGTACTTCTCTTATAAAGTGTCTTCAGGAGGAATGAAGTAGTTTTAGCTATATTGAAAGTTTTCATTACATTTTATACTTAGTTTGTCATACTTGGGCAAAGTACAATTACATATTTTAAAAATCCACCTTAAATGAATTTTTAAGCATAATTCTGTGAATTACGTGTTATTACCTCCAGTTTACTGATAAGGGAATTAATTTGCTGGAAGGCTAAAGCCCATTGAAAAATCACATAATGGTTAAGTGGTAGAACTGTGATTTGAACTTAGGTCTTTGTGATGCCAACATTTGTATATTGCATTGCCTGTATTTTAATGTGACACCACTACCATAGATTAGTTTACCCCAAACAATGAGATGAGATTAACATTCGCTATCCTTCAGGAAGCTGGACACAATGGAATGATAAAGTAGAAAATGTTTAACAAATAACATATGGAAAAATCACAGACATCTTGCTAAGTATTCAAGAAATAGTTGAATACTGATTATAGATGCAAACTACAATTTGAAATTTCCTATTCTAATGAGCTACAAAAATTAGTAATTTGTTATATACAGAGCCTTGTACTCTCACAAGAATTGAGCAGATTTGTTTATTTGTTGTATTTAATGTGAATAAAAATATCCTTGAAAAGTTTAAAAATATATTCAGAATGCAGAAATGAAAAACAGAAGTTTAAATTTGTTGTTTAAGAAATATAATTAGTACTGTATTTTAACAGAATTACTTTTCTATTTTGGTAGTATCCTGAGACATCTCAAAATGTTATTATAGTCTCAGGAAGTAATTTTGTTAAAATACAGGACTAATTGTATTTTAAAATAATAACTATATATACCCCTCTTTTATTTTAAAACAGATTATTGACTTCTCAGTTTTTTTTAGTCCATCTGTAAAGTAAACTATTGCACCTGCGATAGGATTTTCAAGAAATAAGCAGAAGATAAACCATCTATCTTGACATGTTCTATCTTTACTGTCTTCCTTTTAACTTAGTGTCATTCTCTAGTCTCACATCCTATGATGCTGGTTTTTATCTGAGTTATGCTTTTAACTAGCCTCTCATCTCGCTTTATCATTTTATAGTCCACGTCTCTAAAAGAATAATCTCTACTTGTTTTATGTTTTAAATTACCTTTCACAACTCAGATTTCTCACAGTTCTCAAAAGGCATACTGTCATCCTGTAATTTCAAAATCCAATGGCCTCTTTCCAGTGGAAGAATGCCACTGATATCTAGGTACTCTTCATCATCCTCTTCTTTGAAAGTTTTTCTTCCTTTGCCTTCCAGGCACAGTTTTCTCTCTGCTTAATGACTACCTGTAATGGTTCTTTCTCTATTTTTTTTCTTTTTTGATACTGGGGATTGAACTCAGGGGCACTCAACCTCTGAGCCATATCTCCAGCCGTATTTTGTATTTTATTTAGAGAGAGGGTCTCACTGAGTTGTTTAGCACCTCACTTTTGCTAAGGTTGGCTTTGAACTCCTGACCCTCCTGTTTCAGTGGTATGCCACTGTGCTTGGCGTTTCTCTATTTTTTAATGTGTTTCCCCTCTTTTGACATTCACAGTTTCTGTCATTGATCTTCTCTATTATCATTTTACATCCACCTATCCATATATACATATGTACTTATACAAATACATGTATATATGCTCATAGACATATACATATTTATTTTCTCCATACATATTCTCAGTTACTTCTCTAGTTTTAACATGCAACTTATATCCTAGGAAATCTCCAGGTTTATAAATGCAGATCATACCTTTCTCTCCATTCACAGCTGTGTCTCCAAATACTGAACTAGTTATCTTACAAATGTTACAAAAATAAGGAATTAAAAATAGTATTCGTGGGGCTGGGATTGTGGCACAGTGTTAGAACACTTCCCTAGCGTGTGCGAGGCCCTGGGTTCAATCCTCATCAGCACGTAAAAATAAATTAAAAAAAAAGGCATTGACAACTACAACTAAAAATTAAATATTTAAAAAAAAATAGCATTCATAATTGAAAATTGCCAAGTGTCAGTGTTCTAAATACATGTTATCATGTTTAAACCTCGCAGGAATTCTAAGAGGAGATAGTTGCAGTAGCCCCATTTTATGGATAAGGAAACTGAGGCACATAGAAATTAAGTGATATTTCTAAGGTCACAGCATGGCATAATAGGAGATAAAGCCTAGATCAGATATCAAGGTGTCTGGCTCCAGAAATAATGCTATAACTTCTACACTGAACCTCCTTTTCCATTGAAACTTAGCTTATTATTTCTTCCTCTTAACCTGATTCATCCCAAGGAGTTCTAGTTTTCTCCTTGTGTTTTCCATTTTAGAATTTACAGGCATTGTTTTCTCCTCAAATCTTTAATTTTCCTGAAGATATTGTTCTTCTTTGCCCCTGTAGCCAGTCAATCATTATGTCTTCTTATTGTATAGTATAGACTATGACTATCTCATTCTCTCTTCACTACTGCCTTTATCTTCTCCCACCAATATTGTTTCAATAATTTCCTAATTAATATCCCATATTTTCACACCCTTCCCCTCCAGAAAAATGCTCTATGATGTTCTTAGTTATTCTCAAGAAATAAATCTGATTCTACAATAAGCATATATTAGAAAAAAACTATGTTTATTACCCAGGGCTATCTTGATGAAGGTGAAGACCTTACTTGTGACATATGAACTTTTTCAGCATGGCACCATCTTAACATGATGGCCTTTTAGCTTGTTATTCTTCCCAAAGTACCTTGTGTTTTAATGAAACGAAATATAGTACTTCCCAAACAGTATATAGGCTTTGCAGATACCTTCATTTTATCATGCAGAACACTTTGTCTGAAATATCTACCCTTGACCACCAATATCCCATTACTCTTTGTAAAATTTAGTGAGAGCCCCAAAGAAGGTGAAATTAGGTAATTTCCTGCAGGAGACTTGGAAGTTTTCAGTGATGATAATTCAACTAGGACATGAAGGGTAAGAACATTCCAGAAATTATCTTCTCTAATAAAAAGTAGTATTGTGTAGGATGAGAGGCAAGAAGTGCTTCTGATAGGTAATAATATAAGCTACAGTAGTATCTCAGTTACTTCACCGAAGAAGACAAAACAAGGTATTTTCAACATTTAGTTGAAACTTATATTTACATATCCAGACAGGAGAAGCCAGGGTATACTGAGAATTAATAATTGTTTATGGAAAGAAAAAGTAGTATAGTTAACATCCAATGACATGATATCAAAACAGTCCCTGTCTTCGTAGACTGCAATTAGTATGAAAGGTGCCATGTCCTTTCAGCATTTTAGGAGCTATGTAGAGAAGTGTGTTAGTCTGATTTAATACAGTTTAAAATGATTTTCTAACATGTCAAAAATAATAGACATGTTTTCCATGTTGTAATTGGATCTGGTACACAAAAACAGAGCAGTAAATACACCTGCTTCTAATGTGTAATAGCTTCACTATCCAGACCATACCTATTTAATAAATTCATCCTTTTGGAATATAAATGAGAACCAAAAATGAAATAAAAACAAAACAATTTAAGCAATCTGCAAAATGCCACCAAATCTATCACTTAAGCTTCATGGGAAGAAAGACCTATGAGTCTTTTATCAGCCTCTCATCCTTCTCCTTATCCCTTGTGGTATCTTAATGAGCTTAATTATCCATTTTCCATCCATCTCAGACCAGAAGCACAAATTAGGAGAGGGGTTTTCCATATTGTTATATATATATTTATATTTATATATATATTTATATTGTTATATAAATATTGTTATATATATATTTATATTGTTATATAAATATTGTTATATATATATGAATAACTTACTACTTCATGTGATAGGCAACATATTGTTAAAATAGTTCTGTTTTTCTAAGTTTGATATTCCTAGTATATCAAGCACAATGTACCCATTAAATTTATTATCTTACCTATCTTTAAAATCTTTTGTTGGATCAATCTTTGAATGGAGTTTATGAGATACCTGGATTATGTGCTGAAATTTTCTGTATTTGTAGTAAAGTGGTATTATTTAAGAACATGAGTTTTCTCATTGCTCTCTGACTCCATGTAAGTTATTTATCTGCTTTTAGCCTTAGATTCCTCATCTGTGAAATAAAGATAATAGTAATATTTATCTCATATGTTTTTTATGAGAATAAGATTAGATAGTGACTTATATGAAGCTCATACTACATTGTCTGGCATTTAATGATAGTAAAACTAATGATGATGATAAATATTTGGGGTTTTGTATTCTGCTAGGAATTCAGAATTCACCCAATGGATATATTTCATATTCATAATTCCATAATAGAATTTCTTTCCTATAAGTCAATTAGGTTTTTATTAAATTTTGTATTTGTAAATAGTGTTGTTATTTCAATTTTGAATTGATATTCTGTTTTCTGGAAAGGGCAGTAATTGTGACATAAAGGAATGAAGATAATTAGGTGACTTTTGTGTTCCTCACATTCAGGCAGTATAAATATTTCTATAAAAGAGTTCTGTTCTAGCAGTGAAAATTGGAAAATGATGTGGTAATATTATGATTCATTGTGTTGTTTGTAATTAATTAGATGCCTATTAGAATTTGATAAACAATAAATGGTACATTGTCAAACTATTCACTTTATTAAAGTACTGACTTGAAAGTGTCTCATAATTATTTTATACCATTGTCAATAAATTCATCATCCTTGTTCAACTATATATTCATATACTGTAGGTAAAATATTTAGTAGCATTGCAGTGTTATCTTATTAAATATAGTTATTTAGATGTTGGTATATTCATTAATTTTGACTTTTACTATTTTTACTGTTTCTTGGTTTAAATACTTTTATTTGTGCAAAGGTACAATTATAAGACTCATTAAGTTGTTTCTTATGGAAATGTTCTCTTTACTAGTTGGGTATTAATACAAGCCATTAAACTTGAATTTCTGGCAAAAACCATCATAGTAGATGGAAATTTTTCTCACTATTAATTTTGGATTGGGCATGTACTTTGGCTTGTTTGGTCATGTCATAATTGTAATGTAACAAGAATCATTCAAGCAAATACAATGTTATAGTACTATACACAGGATGCAAACATATATCCTAGCCTATGAAAACAATATAAAGTCTTACACAATTTTTTATTGTAATTGGAAGGTTATATATTCCATTAATGCATAAACTTCATAATAACTTGGTTGGTGTATCCTTTTAACATAATGCCAAGTCTACGAAAATATTTAGTTGTTTGAGTATGTTCTCCTGATATCTGAATATCTTAGAAACTGAACTACATTGTTCACTTATCATTCAGGTTTAAGTAATGTTCTAAACATCCTTAGTTGTCTTCTTCAACTCCTTTAAAACATGCAGCTTTTGATTTTTTAATCTGGATGTGAGATAGAAGGGTTGATCTCCCCAAGAGCTGCTTTAGATATAAAATTAAAAGCAGTGTACCTTTTTAATCTTCTCTATGTTAAAAAATTAACTCTATGTTAATAACAGGTCTAGAGAAGTCAAATGCATTTGAAATATATTTATTAATGTGTATTTTACATTCTAACTACTTATTTATGTTTTTATTTATACGTACTTAATATCTTTACTAAATTTGGCATTTTCCATGAATCCCCTAGCAGTCAGCTCTTTAAGTATTCTACTACCTGTTACATATATTAAAAATAGTCAGTTTAAATGTGTACCTCTTCAATTAAACTATTAGCCAGTTGCCTTAGATTTTATCAGCATTTTCTAAAAATGCTATTCAAGAATAATATGTGCAACACCTGAAAATGAGCATTTTGCCAGTTCTCTTCTTGCTTGCAATTTCCAGATAAGTTCCTCTTTTGAAAGGAAATTTCAAAATCAGAAGGTTAGAAGAGCAAAATTCATTTTCCAGTAGAAATATAATTAACGAAATATTTCTTTTGGAAATAAACATGTACACTTCATTATGCTGAACATGTTAGTATTGGTATCACAGTGCCTTCTAGTTGATCTTAACTCACTCACATTAATATTTTACACCAACCATGTTAATTCATTTAGATACATATTTTAATACTCTATATATTTTTGTTAATCTATCCCAATAAGAGGATAGACATAGTGTAAATCAAGGTAATAATTTTCCCAAGATGTTACTGTTCCCTTTTTGATAATAGGCTAGTTTTATAACTATATTTGATTGATTTTAGAAAAGTATAACCATATAGAATTGAGGCCAAGTGCACTCTGAGGACAGCTGGATATGAAAGATACATTTCACAAACTTTTCAAGGGGCCCAATATGCACACTCTTTGAACTTTGGTTTTCTCAGAGGGAGTTTAATATTCTTTCATATTGTTCAGTAAAGCATAAAATACTTGATCATACACCACATTTTTGTTAGAATTATTTTGGACATCATAAACTTTATTGTTTCTTTGTTGTTCTTAATCTAAAGTCATAACCATCATTATTAGAAGTATTTGCATTTCTTGTTTTATAATATGTGTGTATTTTTGCCTTCAGTGAATGCATTTATCCAAATGCATTCAGTAAATATTTCCTTAATTTATTTGAACTTTTTTTTTTTTTTAACAAATTTGCTTTCTTATTTCAGGTGGCGTGCATGCAGTTTATAAATGCCCTTGTCACTTCTCCATATGACCTTGATTTCCGAATCCATTTAAGGAATGAATTCCTTCGTTCAGGACTAAAAACAATGTTACCAGTAAGTTTAGTGTGTGTATTATGCTGATGAACTTTTAACAATTTTCTCTTTGGACAAAAGTATATTTTGAAATAACATACTTATGTGCCTTGCTGTTTTCTTTTGTAAAACTTTAGATGTTATGTAAGCTATTTTTCATTGTGGTAATGTCATTCTCAGTGTAGAAATCATGATTCCAAATTCAGCTAATGGTGTGCCCTGAAGTGATGTAGATTTTTTTTCTTCTTCAAGTCAAAGGGGAACTTCCTTTTTTTTTGAATTTTGAGAATATAGAAAACTAGTTTGTGTTTGCATACGTGTGTGTTTATGTGTGTGTGCAGTCAATTTTCAATTAGAATTTTTACTTTTCTCTTTGATAACTTAGATTGCTCTCGTTTGTATTCAAAATAAGTATGTATAGAGTTCTCATTAGTTTATTCTAGATGCATTGCTTAAGAATGGTGCTCTTGTAAACAGTGCTTTAGCAACTTTTCTAAAGAAAAACAGTTTTATTTCTTAATTGAATGTGAATATTTGTTCTAATTAATAGTGTTAAAATAGGTTTGGAATAATTTCATAGTCAGAATTGGAGACAAATGAACACACTTATTCTGTTAATACAAGTCCAATTACTGTGGCTCTGTATTTTATTTTGTTAAGCATATTAACTGAAGAGTGACTTTCTTTAAGATTAAGGCATTGTTAAAGAGACAAGTGTCATTTCACTATTCTTTTCACTTAAGCTATTGAGAACACACCTGAGAATCAAGAAGTAAAAGTCAAGGAGGAAAAAGAAAGGGCTGAGCAAAGAAAAATCTTAATACTTGATGTATAGTACCTGGGTTTCTAGATATGCCAAAATTGGGGAAATTTCCTGGTGAGGAGCCAGCATGCAATATGCATCTGTCAATTGTGGTTGGATACTCTTAAATGAAACCCATCATACTAAATTGTAAGATTGGGTCTATTTAAACCCATTTTAATAAAATGTATTTTGGGTCTTCCTCATTTAATGCATTTCTATGTTAGTGTCATCTTGAGTGGCTCTTTAATTTTTGACTTGAATTCCAGGCAATTGGACACAGTGAATCCAAGCAATGATTTTTGTGAACCTTGTAGAGATTCAGGTTCAGTGTGTAGTTCATGTAAGTGCTTTCACCAGTTATAGGATATGTGACATGTCCTTATTTTTATTTTATCATTAATCTCTCTTTCTGCAAAACCTGTGGCCTTAGATAGCTAGAAATGATCTTATACTCTTTTTATTTTTGGTTCCTTTTAAGTTGTCATCTTAATGGTTTTCATGCCTACTCTTACTTGTCTTGTTCTCTGTTTCTGGGAAAATAATGTGTTTGGATACTTGCAGTTTCCAGGGGAACCTTAGCATACTTTCCTCATTTACTAATATGCCATGTTTCTGCTGTACTTATTACTACACCTTTCAGTTCCCTCTCTCTAGAATGAAATGTTCATTTTCTCGCTACTACTAATGAATTGCTAGTTAGGAATACTGTAATATTTGTTTTAATTTATTTTATTCCTCATCTTTTCAGAAGAGATATGGTAGCTATTCTAACCTTTTGCACTTTTGTCTGAATGTATTAATCTCTGCCAGTCTTGGTGATCTCATGGTGTGTTATTCATTTAATTACACTGATAGCTAAGATTTTACATCAGTGTTTCTAAGTTCTACTTTCCACTGTCCATTTAGCCCCATGTAAATCTTCTTATGCTACTATTTACTTCTGAAAATCTGCATTATTTATGGATGCTTCCAATTAGACTTTTCTTTATCACATTTCTTCAATATGATCCACTTTTTGGATCTCAGTGATTCCTTAGCAAGAGAAAAATAGTAAGCATAATTTTTCTGCTCTCAAAATTTTGGAATGGAACCTACAGGAATTCTCAAACATTTTCTGTAAGACAGTAGAGTTAAATATGTTCAAATATGGCTATGATTGTCAACCAAGTAGTTGAACATACCCCTGAAAGAGGTGTGTGGTTTGAAAATATAAATCCTCCTCAGTTATTTCTGATATGTAAGAAGAGAAACAAAATCTAGGGGCATAGACTTTTAGAATATTAAGTTTCACTACTGTTTTTTTTTTTTTTGTAAAAGTTGTTTAGATGTTGATGGACTTTATTTATTTATATGTGGTGCTGAGAATCGAATCCAGTGTCTCACACATGCTAAGCAAGTACCCTACCACTGAGCCACCATGACAACCCTCACTACTGTTTTTGATGTAGTTAAATTATCATGATTTGGAAAAGAACAGAATATATACTAGATGTACCTCTCATTGTCAACTACTATCTAACTCATCTGTTTAAATTTAAACTACTAGAATTTATAGTAACATGTGGCATCTTTTACATAGATATTGAAGCTTAAAAAATATATATATATTTTAAGAGAGAGAGAGAGAGAGAGAGAGAGAGAGAGAGAGAGAGAGAATTTTTCAATATTTATTTTTCAGTTCTCGGCGGACACAACATCTTTGTTGGTATGTGGTGCTGAGGATCGAACCCGGGTCGCACGCATGCCAGGCAAGCGCGCTACCGCTTGAGCCACATCCCCAGCCCTGAAGCTTAAAATATATTAATAGATGAACACTTAAAATTCTCATTTTTCCTATCTTATTTTATACATAGTTCTAACAAGAGGAACTCCTGTTTTTTTTCTAGAATATAGCATATTCATACCAACAGATTAGAGTAGGCTAAGGCTAATAATATTAACTCTTGGTATGTGGATCAAAAATTATACCTATCCAGAATGACCAACTATTAGGGGAAAATAGTCTTATTTCAGTAACCCTTATGATCATCATGGTATTTTAGCACAGTCAATTTTTTAAATAATTATCAGGATTTATAAGACAATACAATTATTTTAATAATAATCTATAAAAATTCATTTTCCAAATTTCGCCTATTTTTGTGGTTAAATTTTGGTGTTTGAAGGGAGTTTGTACCTCATTTATATAGAAAGTTAGCTTTTAATAAATTTGCTTTAATAATTTGGAATGATTTAAAATAGTATTTTCTTTTTACTTATGTAACATTGATACCTTATTTTCTCCATCTGTTCTTTTCTTGTAACTAAGTGTTAAGTAAATCAGATATATGAAAGAACAATGCAGTAAGACATTGTGTTTATACAATAGGCATGCTTTATCTCTTTTAAAAGATTGACCACCTCGGGGCTGGGGAGTTGTTCAGTGGTGGAGCGCTTGCCTCGAGTGTGTGAGACACTGGGTTAGATTCTCAGCACTACATATAAATAAAAAATAAAGGTCCATCAACAACTACAGTGAATAAAATAAATAAAATTAAAAAAGACTGACCAACTTATGCTTTTGAAGATTTAATTTTGATTACTTGATTGGTTATCAGTAATATACTGGTAATGGGCTTTGATTTACTTTGGAAGTATACTGAATTATAAATACTTAATTATATATTTCAGGGTTTCTGCAAAAAATAAGATGCTTTATAACTACCCAGTAGGGTTGTTTAAAAATTAACTGAAGCAACCTGAGTGTGGTGATGCACACCTGTAATCACAGTGCCTTGGAAGGCTGAGTCTGCAGGATCATAAGTTCAAGGCTAGTCTTGGCAATTTAGGGAGACCCCATCTCAAAATAAAAAATGAAAATGGCTGGGATTATAGCTTCATGATAGTTTGCTTGCCTAGCATTTGTAAAGCACTGGATTTGATCCTCAGCACCACATAAAAATTATATATAAAGATGTTGTATATATAAACAAATTTTTTTTAAAAAAGGGCTGGGGGTATAGCTCTGTGGTAGAGTGAACTACTACTGCAAAAACAAAACAAAATTCCTAACAAAACCCTAAAAACAACAAAAATCTGAAGCATATTTTTAATATTTTCCAAATTAGTGATAGTGTAATTTCATAATTTTTTGATATTTCATATCTTATAAAACCTTGGTGATACATTTCCATTTTCCTTTATGTGATATCTATCATATCATTTGTACTTCATAAACTTTTTTTATTTCATTAAATATTAAATATTTGGGGATATATCTTTCAAGATTTGACATTTGAAAAGATATTTTATAATTAAGAATAGATGTATATATATATGTATGCATATATATTTATATTAATAGTTCTTGGCCATTATTAATAAAGAACATTTATATATATTGCATTTATATGTGTCTATATTTTTATATTATGCTATGATATTTAGACAGTCATTTTCACTGAAAATATTTCAGTCATGCAGACTGGTTTCAATGTTTTGTAAAGTTTTGATGCTAATTAAATGATATTTTTATTTAAATTTTTCTATTTTTCACACATTTACCTGTGTTCAAGTTTTGTGATGAATGTCTAAGACAATATATTATGACATGAGAATAAAGAAAATTTCATATTATAAAATATGTGAAAGATTGTTTCTGTAATAATCAGCATACTGGACATCTCCAACTTCTGCAGTTTTTTGAATAGAGTTCAGAAATTAACTCATGATATTACCCACTAATGTTAGGTAATTTTGCATTGCAATAAATCCTCTATTCCCCTTCAAATTGGAAAACTGGTGTCAAAGCAGGGTATTATTAAGAAGGAAACTAAGTGGAGATTCATTTATTCATTATGTATTTTATTTCAGATTATTTAAAAACATTAAACAATGTCTTCATATGCTCTATACATAAATATGAATGTTGATAAACATAGGTAAATGTGATGTATGTTGAATGTTAGAAAAAGAACATCTAAACATTTCTTATACTGGATTTGGCTTCAGTTATAGCCATTAAATCCTCATTTATAATTGTTCTACTGAATAAAATAGAAACAAGAAATGCATCCCAATTTGTTTTATTTACCTAATTTGAAGTACACCATGCTTGCATTTCCTTTTAGAGTTCAAGCTCAACTCTGAATATCCTATTCCCACTTTCGGTAACACCCTTGAGCATCCACAGTTGTGATTATCGATTTGGGTTTTGAAAGCTGCAACTTAATGGACACATATTAAAAGATATTCCAGGTGATATATATTAAGCCCAACAATCTCTAGTGTGGCATGCTCCCAAAGTTTTTTTATACTATTCTTTTGAAAACTATCAGAGGTTTGTAATGCATGTGCTTATGATGTATTACAAAAATCTTCAAAGCCCAAGTTGATATTTTGTGATTTAGCTAAGCATAAATGAAAGGTGGGGGAGGAGGCTAAGAAATACAGTTTGATAAAAAAAATTCCTAACACCTTTTTGCTTTAAAAATCACAAAATATCATTTAATATAAATTTGTTTAGACAACTTTTTCACGCCATACTTGGGACTGTTGTGCTTGAATATATCCTTGCATTTGTCCTTTATTAATACAATTGGTCTATATTTGCTTATTTTTTTTGGCCAGAGGCTATGTGTGAATGTTCTAACTGCATGAATTCTTTTGTGATCTTTGATTAGTTTGTTTAGTCAAAACCACAGCATTTATTTGAGTTGTTAGCAATTAGTATTTTTATTGTTGTTGTTGTAGAAGTAATCGTTAATTTTTTAATGTGAATATCAAAATCGGGGCATGGAAGGAAAGTGCAGTTTATGCAGTGAGGATCTTTTATTTTTAAATAGAAAATCTTTGTTACATTTATTTTCTTTCAGGAAACCAACTGCCTTGGTCAATTTTTGAAATTGCTTATGTGTGTATAAATGAATATTTGTGTTATTCCCCTTATTTTCAAAATTTGCTGTTGTCAAACTTTTATTCATCTGCTAAGTTTTATGTTTATATACTAGGATTTAAAAGAAAAAGAGAACGATGAGCTTGATATTCAGTTGAAAGTATTTGATGAGAACAAAGAGGACGACCTAACTGAATTATCCCATCGTCTCAATGATATTCGAGCAGAAATGGAATATCCTTTGACAACCCCAAAATAATTTTGTGCATATCATGTAAAAGGGATTTGTGGGTAATTTGAGGGACCATTATTAGAATTCTTTTCTGCCAGCCCAGATTGTATTCGTGTATTTACAATGGAATCTTGTTCTGATGTTGTCCTGGACATTTATGCTGAGGAGCTGTTAGACTCTCTTGATGGTGTGTACAGACTACATTGAAATCTAGATAGTGGCTGTATGTATTATAGGGATATTCTGCTTACTAGTCTTGAATAGACAAATATAACTTACATATAAGAATGAGGAAAAGTCCACAGAGTTCCTTTGTGACTATAGGTAATATGGTTTTTCAATTTATTAAATGGTACTCCAGTGAGAGATATCAGTCCATTGAAATAAATGTCCTATTCTCTATCTGATATGTGTTTTCTTTAGTAGTAATAAAAATATTTAGATACAATTGTAATTGACTCCATCAAGGCTATGTCATAGAAGGATCTGGGTCAAATACAGCTAGATTATAAATTTTCCTTGGGATGGACATGTGAAATGATTTTTGACACAAGACATGGTTATCATAGCACTGTTGGCCATTTGCTTCACATCCATTGAATTTCTTACTCATGGATTCTGGGAAGTTGGGAAATCTTCAGAACCATAGTGACCTTTGAGCTGTACTTTTTCCCAGTGATATGTTCTCTTCCCTGTAAAAAAGCTGTAGTTATATTCCCTTCCTTGACATTCCCAGAGTACTTTGTTTGTTCTGTCTTATTTATGTACACTTCTCTGCTCCTGTGAGATTGAGGGCAGAAATGTTATGTGTCATTTTTTCCTCCAGTGCACCTATCGAAGTCATATAAAGATAAGTGTGTATTTAATGAATAAAAAATTTATTATTATGAGGAATAAGTTCTAATCCAAGTTTTAGTGATACATGTCTGCACTAGCTTGTCTAATATTAAATGCTTTTTATATCAATTAATAAATATCTTGCTTTTTATAGATTTCCCTTATAACCAAATGTCACTGTATAGCTATTGTTGGATTCATTCTGTAGCCATTTAAGGGACCTTATGATACTTTAACACAAACCTCTTACGTGGGTCTAAGAAGTAATCCATCATATACTTAATTCTACTTCAGAGAAAATGTTGACATTTCAAGTTATTTTTAGGATGTTGGATTACATCTTGTCTTTTACCTTTATTTTCAATTGATTTTCTAGGTCTTCACTTTTGTTATGAAACTGAATTCATTTTTGAAATGTTTTTTCCTTCACTAAAAGCACCTGCACTTCCACTTTATTCCTAAGAAAAATATATTTTAACCTCCTTTGTCTTTACTCTCCCAACTTCTTTCAAATCGGGAACAACAAATGAACACAAATAATAATTTCATATTTAGTATTTTATCTACATAAAATAAAACTGCTTTTTTGATCTTTTAGTAGTTTAAAGCATGCTCATTTGCCTTCTATCTTATATGGCATTGAAAATACAGTAGTAGTGGTTTGTATGGATAATGTAGGCCCACTTTGAAAACCACAGGGACATCAAGATAAAATCATTTTCATTGATGGCATTGCTGTTCTAATGGTACCAGCCATAATCTGTACTTCAATATATAATGAATTATTATTCAAGCTTTTGACAGCCAAGTCGTCTTGGAAATGCTCTTTAGGTCTGATTTTCTGGTTAAAAGATTAAAATGATTCCATAGAATCATTTTCTTTACGTAAATATTTAAATACTGGAACATGGTGTTGAAGGTTTAGAAACAGTAATAGAAGTAAAATGGTAAATGTAGTTTTTATAAAATTAAGCTGCTTTTGTTATGAGTGAAAATTTCATCAAGAATCTTTGATATTTTTTCCTTTACTTACTTTTTTACTGATATGAATGAAGTATATCACCTTCTTTATAATATGTTGAAAGACACTGCAGCTGAAAATTACTTATTATCCATTCTGCAACACTTTTTGCTCATCAGAAATGATTATTATATCAGGTAAGAGGAAGTTCTAAGAGTAGCATATTTATAATTTAAAATGGATATCAAAGGAATAGAACCTAGGCAATATATGCATATGTACATACATAGGATATAGGGACTTGACTAGGTAACATTTTTTGTGGGGGGCACCAGGGATTGAACTCAGGGATACTCAACCACTAAACCACATCCCCACATCCCCACATCCAAAGCCCTATTTTGTATTTTATTTAGAGACAGACTCTCATGGAGTTGCTTAGTGCCTTCCTTTTGCTGAGGCTGGCTTTGAACTAGTGATCCTCCTGCCTCAACCTCCTAAGCCACTGGGATTACAGGCATGTGCCATTGCCACTGGCAGTAACATTTTTAAAAATGTATTTAAAATGAGCCAGAAGAGAGATGTACTTATAAAAATGGCATATCCCAGGAATGGCACTGTTAGTAGCAATGAACCCAATCGAAACTACTGACTGATTAATTTCCTTTGCTAGATAATGGTAACACAGTGGGTGAGACCAAAGATTCTAGGACATTTCAAAATCCTGAACATTTTAATAAGATTTTATGATTATTTCTCTTTTATAGCCTTTATATAGTAATAAATATAATTTAATACCTTTAGAAAATATGTATGCAGGGGCTAGGGATAAAGCTCAGTTTGCAGAGTGCTTGCCTCACCTGCACAGAGTTCTGGGTTCAATCCCCAGCATCACAAACACACACCAACACCAAAAAAAAAAATGCAGATATTTCACTTTTATGTCCATTGATATAATTTTTCTAAATGAGTCTGATAATAACCCATGAAGTTAATAGTTTTAGAATTTGGTAACAGGAAATGTGTATGCAAATCAAAGTTATAAAATGGTTTCTGAATGATGGAATTTATTTATTGTCTACTAACCTTGATCTTATATTTAGCTATTATTTGTCTTCATATTTTAATTTGCATAAAATTTTGACCACCTACATTTTCTGATTTTTCAAAAACTGCTTGATTAAGGGGAAAATGAAGGCCACCATGAAGTAAGGTTTGGTTGCCACAAAAATGATGGTTTTAGTTCAGTACAGATCAATAATTTGATAGATATCACAGCATTACAGAAACAGAAAAAAATGTTAAAATATTAAATTATATGCTCTTTTTAAGCAGGAGAGATGCTACTGCATTAACAATGATTTATTGTTTTCTATATTAAATTATGACAGTTAAAGGGATATTGTGCTCTGAGGTGACCAGTTACCTGGGGTAACCATTCATATAAAACTATTTATTTCTCAGTAAGTATAATAAATGACAAGTTGCCCACACATGGTTTTCTTTTCATACTGAGAATATCTCTTTGAGGTAGATGTGTAACAAATACTTTTATTCTGCTTGAGATTATTAACCTAGTTTCCCAGAGAACAATTATATTTGCCTTATTTACTCAGAGTTGTCAACTAGACTGGGATCATGATCCAGTATTATTTACCATATATCAAATAATGACTTTGGGGGAAAAAAGCTTCAGATATATAATGTATAGTAGTTCTTAATCTTATGACCAACCTCATAACTAAGGATAGAGAAAAACAAATAGAATCTGTTTGAGTTCATTTTCAATTTTTTTTAGTGGGTTGAGAAGCATTTATTTAGGAATGTTTATGTCATGATTTGTCTATAGTAGTACTTATTACTGATTTTCTCTGCTGAGTTTATTAGCCTCTCCAAAATTCTAAATCTTCTTAAAATTTTAATGCAAAAATTGCCTTTTTTATTTTGTTGTATGAGTGTCATCATTTTTTAAAGCCAGAATTACCTTGATAGATTACAGAATCACCAGATGTTTTAAAACCTTTGACACTTTAAACAAATTGGGACTACATCCATGCATATTAAGTGCACATGCTTTTATGAAATGGATCTTTTAAAATATGTTATACAAAAAAATCTTTGAAATAGTTTGAAACATCAGTGGCTCAGTACAGTTTTGTAAACTGTTGCATGTATCTTAAGGAAAAGTACTGTAGTAAATTTAAGATGTTGCTTGCCCCCTAATACCAAGAAACTCATCACTTATTGAAATTCAGAACTTGTGCATGCCTACAGTAATTTCTGTGTCCATGGATATAGAATAAAGGGGGTCATCTTTTTCATTAACTTTAGAAACAATAGTTCAAGCCAACACATAATGTTTTTAAGTATCTTTGAACACAAGCATGAATCCCTGCAGACTAGAACATTAAGTCACCAAGTATTTCCATTTGATTATATCACAATGGGTTTGGCACTATAATATCCAGAGCATCTTTCTTTAAGCTTTGGCATAGTTTTCCAAAGGTAGTGTACTGGTTAGAGGGCTTTCTTTCTTTCTTTTTTAATAGCTCTAAGAAAAGACAATTCTTTTGACACACTAATTCTTTTCTTAAGAAAATTTATTTGTACAAGTAGAAAAACATTATTCACATATACTTTCTTTCTTTTTCAGGCCACAGTATTATAAAATAATTGAGGAGTGTGTTTCTCAGATAGTGTTGCACTGCAGTGGCATGGACCCAGACTTTAAGTACAGGCAAAGATTAGACATTGATTTTACTCATCTGATAGGTATGGAATATAATCTTTACTGTCCTATGTGCTTTATATCTTCTATATAATGGTACTTTTTAAAAGTAGGTCTCTCATTGAATAACTTCTATTACCATCTGGTGTATCATTATGTCTGTAAGTATCTTATTGCTGTAATTATTAATTATTATGATCATGGAAGTTCTGCCTGTGTGATTAGACCTGTTAACCTATTTGTTAAGTACCAACAGTACTGAACTCAGTTTCAACTCATTGTCCTACAAAAAGGCATTTTATTATAGATGAATTTCTTGCTTTTTAGAAGCATGAAATATTTTAATTTAATATTTTAAATATTTTAATTCAATTTAAACTGGTGTCTTTGAAATCATGTGTATAATGGAATATCCTTAGTATTGCTTAAACTTAATAGATAAAATACTCACTTATTTCTGCAACTTATGACCTTTTTAGGCTATCAAATAACTCAGTTTGTATTTTCATAGATATTAGAGTTGCCAAAAATTCTGAGGTCATTATATATATGTATTTGGATTGCTGAGGAAATAACTTTATATCATCCTAGACTGCTAATTATCAGTACTTTGTAAAATAATCTCAGAAGGATCATGTGAAACTTCCTTCATGAAATACGCTATGATATATGGCTTTACAGTTATGCAGTTTTATTTATACCTAATTGAAATCACTATTGCTGAGGTTCAAGCACCAACTCACTTCTAAACAACAGCTGTTGAATGCCAAATATCTATTATTTTTCACTCCTTAGCACAGGGCAGAGTTGTTGGAGTGTTCAAACATGTATAACTTAATGTTACCATGTATTCTTTTCTGTTTTGAAATGCAATCCACACTTATTGTAGGAATCTTGAGTCACTAGTCACATTACAATTAGTCCCTTTTCAGTTCTGTACATTTCCTTTTGTCTGTTTATCTATGTGCTTGCCTTTCTGCCTGTTCCTCTGCCTGTCTGTATGCTGATTTTTCATGGAACATTATATGATGATTTTTTATGTTAACTTTCAAAATGTGACTTTTAATGTCTGTATAGTATTCCGTTGTATCAACTATCATGATTATTTTAATGAGTTCTTATTGTATATCTAGATGGTTTTCACCTGAATTATAAATGAATCTTCACCAGCATTCTTGTATAAAAATGTTTGGCTTTTTCTCTTTATTTTCTTAGGATTGATTGCTATAAGCACAGGTATGAATGTTCAAAGCCAAATGATTTTCGGAAAGCTTGTGTTATTTGCCTTTGGCCCAGCAATGAATGTGAATGCTGGCCTTAGTTCATATTTTTCATTGAGTTTGATAAATTAGTTTATTTCACTTTTTGTTGAGCAAGTCATAAGGGACTATTTCCAAATCCATGTGTTGGCTTATAATCCATTAGGGTTCCTAGTTGGCACACATAATCTATTGCTGATTTTGGATAGCTGTTTTACTGTTCAACAGATATTTGTTTTGTGTAGTGTGTGCCAGGTGCTTACAATTGTATAATGTTTATGAAAAACATTGCGGATGACAAATGAAAGGATCAATTGAGAGAGGATAATCAGATTCATAAACCCATTATGACCTCATCCACATATCATCACTGTAATTGTGAACAGATCTTTAACTTCTTTAAGTTCCAGCTGCCTCAGTTCTAAAACAGGCAAATCGAATATTTAGGTAGCTCTTGGTTAAAGTCCTTTTTGAGAAGCTGATGAATCCCATGAACCTTGAATTAGAACACACATACACACACACACAAATACACACAAAAATTATCAAGTGCTTCAAGAACTCCTGGGAATTCTAATAATTTCTTTTTTAAAATAACTTAGACTGAGGTTGCTAAGATTTCTTCTGATTTCACAATTCTGTAAGTCTAGTATCTTTCACAAGTTGGATCAGATTGAATCCTTGCGTTAAAATCTCCTGTGTTAGTTTACCTCACCATTTCTATGACCAAAATACCTGACAAATATAACTTAGAGGAGAAGAAGTTTATTTTGGCTCCTGGTTTTAGAGTGTTATTCCATTGTGTCTCAACTCATTTCTCTACACTCCAGTGTGAGGCAGTACATTATGAGGGAAGGGCCCAGAATAGGAAAGAAAGTTGTTCCTCTTTTGCCAGATCAAAAGGTGGTGGGGAGGCCCAGGAGTGCAGTGAAGGAGCCATTGGGAAGATGCATGCTTCCAGTGCAGGATCCCATTGACCCATCTCCTCCAGCTATGTCCCACCTGCCTCTGATTACCACCCAGTTAGTTCATCCAAACTAGGATGGCCTGATTAGGTTACATCTCTCATAATCTATAATCATTTTACCTCTGAACAGTCTGAACATTCTTCTATTATTAACATTCTTCTATATATTCTCCTATATAACATTCTCCTACTATTACCTATTAAGGTAGAAGTATTAACATAGTTTGGAGTTGGGGAGCCTCATATCCAAACCATAACATCTCCAATGCCTTCCTATTCAAATTTAAAGTAAAAATCATTTCCAAGTATGGCTAACACAACATGGGTGTGGCCTTCCCCTTTGACCTAAGAACCTAGTGCTTTTCTTCTTTGTTGCTTCGCTCCACACACACATTTAAAAAAAAGAAAAAAAAACTGTATTGAGATAAATGTGACATAATGAAAAATACCTATATTCTAAGTATTCAATCTGACAAATATTGAGACATGTATACTTAAAAATCATCAGAAAATCCAGATAATAAGCATCACTATTACTCATTAATGTTTCTGCATACTTTTAATCCCTCCTTTTGCCTTCTACCTGTCCTTATTCTAAGAAAGCCACTGATCTCTCATTACTTTCTCTTACTAGTTTTATTTTCTAAAGTTTTAAAAATTTTGAAAATTTGTTCATCTTCTAATATTTTTATATAAATAGAAGCACATAGCATGTACTCTTTGATTCAATATAATTATTTTAATATTTATCCTAATATTGTATTGCATGTATCAATAGTTCATTCTTTTTTATCACTGAGTACTATTGCAGAATATGGATATATGAAAATTTATTTGTACATATATTTGTTGATGATCATTTAGTTTCCAGTTTTTATTTATTATAAATAAATCTGTTGTGAACATTCATATAAAAGTCTGGGTACAGACATATTTTCATTTTTGGGGGTGGGATTGAATACATAGATGTGGAATGGCTAGATATTATAGACTTTTTATGTATTTATGAAAGATACAATTTTGCCCCAAAGAAATACATTCATTAGCTATAGCTTGAAGTACTTGATTGGACCTGAGGAGTTTTAAGTTGTTTCCCTATGTTCATGGCACATTTTGTACCATATTAAAAGTTATTTTAAATTGTTCACTGGATAGCATGAAGTAATGAATGTGACTCTTGTCTCCCCCCTTCAGCATTTTTTGAAGGATCATCTTGAGTCTTTATGATCTTAAATTTGAGATCTTTGCCACCTGTTCACCCAAAGTCAAATACAAATTTTTTAACAATTCTATAATTATATAAGTTGAAACATAATTAAATATCTTTATAACAATGATAAGTTAGTCAGATATATTTATAGATGCTTGGTTTTGTGTTTTAGAATGCCATCATTCAATTCAGTTAGTTTGACCAAGAAAAGTGTCATGTTTGTTTGATATATGGTATAGATTAGTTTCTCTTTAATAGCAACTGGCATAGAAATGATAGTGTGGGGTTGGTGTTGTAACTCAGTGGAAGGGTGCTTGCTTAGCATGTGTGAGGCATTGGGTTTGATTCTTAGCACCATGTATAAATAAATAAATACAATAAAGATCCATTGACAACAAAAAATATTAAAATGAAATGATAGTGTGCATAGAATTATAGGCTGGCAGCTACCTTTGGGCTAGAGATCTCATGCTATAATTTCTAATTATTTCTGATAAATCTTACTAGATTCTTGTGTGAACAAGGCAAAAGTTGAAGAAAGTGAACAAAAAGCAATGGAATTTTCAAAGAAGGTAAGGCTTATAAAATATTAGCCTAATTGTCAAATTAATCAGCATGTTGTCCTTTGTTTCTTTATATGAAATCTGATAACTGTTGTTTCAGTTTTATAGTACTTTATATCTCAGGATTCAAATGAAACAACAGGATATTGATTTATTTCCTGATAGGGTAAGGTCATTACTCTTACCTTCTCATCACCTTGAAAACACTATCCATATTATACTAAAGTGATAAGAAAAATTCAGCTGCTGAAAGGACATATTTAGAAACATTCAACCAAAATAAAATGTCTCATTGCTTTCCTGTATCTCTTACTTAAAATAGGTATCATTTTGGAGAACTAGGAGATATTTTATTGGTCTTTAAAGCTACTGTCTTTAAGTCAGTGTTGTTTATAGCAATAGAAAGTTGTAGTGTTCTCTTTCTCTGTCTCTTCTTAGACTTAGCTTCTTTAATTTTGTAATTGCCACTTGTTAGAGGATGCTGCTACTTCATGTAGTCTTGGTGGAATCTCACAGTGCCCTTTCTTTCTGTGCTAATGCCTTATGCAAATGTCTTTGAATAATGCCAAAATTATGAACATCTTAATTTTATTCAGACCTAAGATTACCTTTTCATTGTTTCCTGTAAGCATAGTTACCATTTAATTAATTTCTACCAAGTTTCTTCCTTCCTTTCTGCTTTCTTTCCTTCCTTCTTTTTGTTCTAGATCCTGTTAAAAGTTGGTGTAGTGTTTCTTCTTGTTGGGTGCAGGGAAGACCAAAGCACAAGTCTAAAAGCTCTCCAGTTTTCTGCCTTCTGACAGCAAGATAAAATGCTTACATATTGCTGTCTCTCCAAAGTTGTGACTTACCTTGGAGATTAGATAATCACTTTTGCTATCACTCTAGAAATTATAGAGTTACTTCAGGGCATCTGAAGAAATGACTGAGCTCTCTCAGTTACTAGAATAGATTTTAAGAGCTTGAGCATAAAATGTTTGTGTGAAGCTGTCATTTTTATTGGTGAATGAAAATGTGTGCTTTTTGATTAATAGACCTTTATATTTCTGATGTTCTTGTTTTAAGTAGCACACTTTAAATTCCTTTTGAAAATCTTAGAATCTCCTTAGTTTTTGGCTGGTATTGTGTTTATACATCATGAGAAAAGTAAATTTTGAATATCTTTCTAGTGAAGCTTTCTATATGCACATAATATGGGGAAGGGGGTCCTGAAATTATGGAAATTTTAGTGTTCAATGCTTTAGTCTCATTGCCAACATTTAGAATAGGAAGGTGTGGAGATAACCCATTGGTTATCTACATGCATTCTTTTGTTCTGGTTCATCTTGAGAGACAATATAAAGCAGGTTTTTAAAAGAGTGTTTGAAAGAGAGGCACTAATTGTAAGATCTGATTAACAGCTTTTCCACTAATTAGCTGTGACTTGAAACCATTTACTCTCTTTGGATTTTAGTCTCTTCATCATTAAAAGGAAAGGATAAGATTAGTTGACTTGTAAGAAGACCTCTTTCAGATCACATATTTCAGTCTTCTGCAATTCCTTTAAAAATAAAAGTAGAGACATTGTTTGCCTCTTTTCAGATGTATTTATAAACAATTCAGAGGAAGAAGATGTGTACAGTGTGTTTGTGTAGATACATGTTTGGACCAGCTTCTATGGAGCACATAGGAGATGAGAGTATAGCTTCAGAGAAATCTTAACATGTATGATAGTGATGGCAAGCAATCTTACATTCAAGAATCTCCATCTTCTTGGTAAACTGGGAAACAAGTCATTGAAGGATCCTTCACTCTAGGTACCTGGAGTGCTTTTGAAATGTAAAGATAATAGAGATTTGGAGCAGTTTCTATGGGGCATTTTTCAGGCACTCAACTAGAGGTGATAAAAGTATTACCAAATAATATTTCAGGTTTGATGTAAATATTATTATTATCCAGTCTGTCCAGCATTCTTTCTTTAGACTTAAGATCACAATGGCATTCTAGAATATCCAAAGATCAAATCTGCTATGAGGATGAATATTTATTACAGTGAACATACTTTTGTATTGTTCCACAAACTATAAAGACAGCTTTGGGCAGTAAAAGATATTATTTATAGAAACAGAAATAACATTTTTGGAATAATGTGTAGATCTATATAATGACTTCAGGTGACATTGGCAATAAAAGGCAAATAAAATATTCTGTAGCCAGATGAAGGCAGTGTGCACTATAAATTGTAGGCTGTTGTGGGCCGGCTTAAGAGTTCTGACTGAGGCACAGACTGGGGCAGGATGCAGCAAATTAATATTCACTATGTAGACAGTTTCTTTGGCTTAGTCTATGTATCTTAACCTCTCATGTTTCCCTCTTGTAACATCTCATACAAGTATTTTGGTTAACCATTTGACCGAGAATGGTATATAACATATCATTCTACTATAAGATTTTGTATAGTACCACTTTTTGGATACTAGAAAGTAAAGATTTGATAGAAACATTCCAGTTTGTATTCATGTACATTCATTTGTGGATTCTAAAAGTACATTACCTTTTCAAGATTAAATATATTTAAGGAGTTGAAATTCTTTGGCATACTTTTAGATTCCATTTTCAAATTCACTAAACTTAATACTATGGGATGAAACAGTAATTATAAAATCAACATTTTAATAACAAAGCAAGAAATGTGTCCATTATACAGGAAGAGAGAATTTGCAGTTCAACCTTTTCTTTTGTATTTGTTTTTCAAAAGTGAAAATGGGTTTCCTTACCCCTCATATTTCTTCTCCAAAGTTAGAGCCTCATCCTAACATGGATACTTAATTATCATGAAAATAAACAAGAGCTTTGATTTTCTAAGTGACCTGGAAATTCATATAGGAAAGAACACTCTAGTTATTTACTATATAATGTTTAAAGCTTTCTGAAACGTATATTATTAACTCTACATTTATGGTGGTGATCATTGCAGTTTGATGAAGAATTCACAGCTCGACAGGAAGCTCAAGCTGAACTTCAAAAACGAGAAGAAAAAATCAAAGAACTTGAAACAGAAATCCAGCTACTTCGAATCCAGGTAATGAACAAGATATAGACTTTGTGTCATGTCACAGTGAGTTTGATGGTAGAAAATTATCTTGTAAGAAAGAAGGAAAAATTGTAACTGGAAGTGGACTTTTTTTTGTCAGTTTCACATTTTAGTTGAAATAAACATACAGATTTGATTTTTGTGAACAATAAATCATTTTAGTATTTGGAAAAAATAAGGTATCAGATGCTCAAAGTGCCCTGTATATTTTAAACAAAATGTTATATGAGCAAAACTGTTTTTGAGATAAAATTTTCATGATTGAAAAATTGCTTGGTATTTTCTTTCAAAAAGAATATGAAAATGCTCATTAATTTTAATTATCCCAAAAGATTCTTACGGTGTCTTTAATTCCAGATTATCATCATTTCAACCTGTACACTCAGAAAAATGAGAAATTATATCCCATCTGATTCAAATGTAAAAAAAAAAAAACAAACCTATACACTTTACATTTCCACCTACATTCCCTAGGATGAAAGCTTCCCATATGCACGTAAAGTCTTAATTAGGGTCTCTAAAGTTTTAGAATTGATTCAGTACTCTCTTTAACACGCTTTATGTCTCAAATGAATATTAAGAAGTTGAAGAACATGCCTTTCGTTAGTGAATGTTTGGTCAGTGTTGGTTGATTAACTGGACAAGTCTGGTTTTATCCTTCTACTAAAAATATTTAAGTGAGTAGTAACCTGCAAAGTACCCAAAGTGGTAAAAAGTGGTAAAAAGGTACTTTTTAACCTTTTTCTATCCATAGTCTACATCACATATCCCTAATATTTGATCATTTCTTTTCACTGAATCATCTCTCTTCCCTCTGTACCATCTGACTTCCCTTTTGAAATGTCTGAGGACTGTTTCTCTTTATTTTTTCATTCTCCAAATGAAAGTGTTCTGTCTTCTGTTATTTTTCTCCGTATATTCTTATTCAAAATTCCATTCAACATCATATATTCAAATATCACCTTTTATTAGGTGTTAGATCTTTTTTTGTTGTTATCGTGCTTTAGGATTATGTTTTGATGCTGTTTTTTCTTTTTTTAATTGGTGCATTGTAGTTATATAGAATCATGGAATTCATTGATACACATTTGTGGACATAATATAATGGTATAATTTGATCAGTTTTATTCCTATTACCTCCCCTTTCCCTCTCCCCCTCCCTCCTCCTGGTCTCCTTTTGTCTGTTCTCATTACCTCCCTTCATGAAATCCCTCTCCTAACTTTATTTTCCTTCTTCCTCTATTACTTCTATATATGATAGAAAATATACAACTCTTGACTTTCTGAGTTTGGCTTATTTTGTTATACATAATGCCCACAAGTTCATTTTTTTGAAAATAACATAATTTCATTTTTTATGACTTAATATAACTTGATTATGCATAGATACCACGTTTTCTTTATCTATTTCTCCATTGATGGATATCTAGAATAGTTCCGTAATTTGGCTGTGGTGAATTGTGCTGGTATAAATACTTACATGCATATAGCACTATAGTATGCTGACTTTAATTCTTTTTTAAAAACATTTATTTTTTTAGAAGTATTTGGATACAATATCTTTTTTATTTTTATTTTTATGTGGTGCTGAGGAACCATCCCAGTGCCTCACCCATGCTAGATGAGTGTTCTGCTGAGCCACAATCCCAGCCCCCTGACTTTAATTCTTTAGGATAAAAACAAAAGGGTGTTATAGCTGGGTCCTTTGGTGATTCCATTTCTAGTCTTTTGAGGAACCTCCTTACTGATTGCTATAGTAGTTTTATTAGTTTACAATCTTACCAACAGTGTGAAAGTGTTCCTTTTCCCCCATATCCTCTCTAGCATTTATTATTGTATGTATTCTTGATGGCCTCCATTCTAAATGGAGGGAGATAAAATGTCATTGTAGTTTTGATTTGCATTTCCCCGATTGCTAACAATGTTGAACCTTTTAAAAAATATATTGTTGGCCATTGTGTTTCCTCTTTGAGAAGTATCCATTTAATTCAGTTTCCTGCTTATTGATTTTTTTTTTTGGTGTTATACTTTTTGAGTCAGGATATGAACCTTTTGTTGGAAGAGTAGCCAGCAAAGATTTTTCTCCCATTATGCTCTCTCACTATACCCTTAGTTGTCTCCTGTATTTCACAGAAGCTTTTTAATTTGATGCCATCCCATTTATTAATTCATTATATTTTTTTCATAACCTTTATGAGTCTTTTTGAGAAAGCTATTTGTGCTTATATGTTGGAGTATTGACCCTATATTTTCTTCTGTCAGGAAAACAGCTGTTTTGGATCAAGTATATCTGAGTTGTAATTCATACAACTCTAATCACAAGTGATTTTTCTTTGCCCATGTTTTATAAATTCTCTAGCCTCAGTATTTTCTTCTTGGACAGATTCATTCCCAGCAGTGTAAATCTAAGTCAGCATAACAGACCAAAGAACTGGAGTGAGAGAATACAGAACTTTGTGGGATATTTCCATCTACCAGGCAGTTCATTACAATCAGGTTACTAAGACCAAAATGTTCCCAATTTCAGTTAAATCTACATAGGAAATAGTTATGTAACAAAGACTTGGTTTTGCCAATGTGAATGTTAGCACTGGTACTGAAGTTCAAATACAAGGGTTCTCTGTTGGAGTTAAACATCTCCTTTAGCTTCAACTTTGGACCCTGTCATGTGGTATATTTCACTAGATCCTTCTTTCCTCTGCTGTTTCAAGAGGCAAAGCAAAGTTCTTGAAGCAATCATGAGCTAACTTCTGCCATAGGAGCCACTTTCTTCCAGACCAGTCAAGCAAGTCACTTGAGTTCTTTTTATATTTCCAGCTCTTGATTAGCAGTCTTTATAGGAAGGTCCTGCTGCATATAGAAATCAGACCTAGTATCCATGATTTCCTCTTTTCCTCAAACTAGCTTGGTACCCATTTTATTTGTTTAAATTTTACACCATTTTTGAAGATAGTGAAGTGGGAGTTTTCTTTAACTTTGCCCTGTTCCACCTGTATCAAAGTAACCTACTCACCGTTTTTTGTCATTTTTTTTTCTCTTTTCCTTTTTGCACCAAATCCCAGAAACGGTCAGATCCACTCTCAATATATCTTGCCTGGACTATTATAATTGTTTTCTAATTTTTCTCCCTTGTCTATATTTTATTCCACTTCAAATTTATCCTTTATGTTAGTGGTAAATTAATCTTCCTGAAACACTGCCATGATTATTATCATTCCAGCTTTAGTATGTTCAGTGGTTGCCTGTTATCATCAGGATTAAATAAAATCTCCTTACCAGGAATTTTAAGCCCTTCTGGCATGGGCTCCCTTGTTCCCCTTTGTACTCTAGGCTCTGATTGCTCCCTTAAATATAGTCTCTTTTGTAGCTAAGTTAACATTCCTTCCTTCATATTTGCAACTTCTTGTCTCCATACTTTTCTTCCTGCTATAATTTCTCAGATTTAGTTAGAGAGATGTTGATTTTTTAATCAGGAAAACATTTCATAGTCCACTAAATTGAGTACACATGAAATTGTCTCTTGGTAATTTACAATATTCATTAATATTAAACGGATATAAGAAGTCCTACGCTGGAGAAACTGTATACCTCTTTTATATAATTTTCCTTGACAGGTTTGACTACAGAACTCTTAATGTCAGAACACATATTAACATCTCTTGGAAATATCACTTGCATAGAATTTACTTGAGAAATGCTGGTTTATGTTATACTCTTTCAGAAATCCCATACCTTGTTCATATGTGCATGTGAAACATATACTATAAAGGAGAAACTAAGTAAGGTGTCCTTTGGAAACCTTCAATACCTCTATCAGGGAATTTCTCTGAAATTCCATATTACTTTCTAAGTCTACTATTGTTTTATTTATTTATATGCCTTCTCTATTTATTCCATATGAGTGTAAGCACCTTAAGGACTTAAGCTCACCTAGCACAGGGCCTTATTACTTAGTAAGTATTTATTTACTGTTAAGTATAAAATTTTAGTTGCACTGCACTTTCTAGTGTTCCCCAAATGGTTTAAAATATAAAATTATTAATTTAGTGTGTTTAGGTTACAGTACTATATTGTAGCCTAATTTAATTGATCAATTCCTAATTGCTCATTAGAGGTAAGAAAATACTGATAATTTTTGAATTTAAAGGAATTTACATTTTTTTCAATTGAAATTGGGGGCATTTTACCACGGAGCTACATCCCAACCTTTTTATTTATTTATTTTTTATTTTGAGACAGGGCTCACTATGTTGCATAGGGCCTTGCAAGTTTGCTGAGGCTGGGTTTGAACTTGTGATGCTCCTGTCTCAGCCTTCCTAGCTGCTTGGATTATAGGTGTTTGCCAGTGAACCTTTAATGTAAACATTGGAGATTCTTAATTAAAAATGTAAGATGTATATTTAACTTAAATAAATTCTTGATTTTTTTTATGGTGGTGCAGGGGATCAAACCCAGGGTCTTAAACATGATTGGCGATTGAGCCATACTGAGCTATACCTCCTGCCTAAAATTCTATTTAAAATAATAACATTGTTGTGGTTATACAAGTTTTATAATAAACATATGAGGCAAAAATTTGATGTTTATACGTACATCTTATTTGCTGTGTCTTCATTTTTAATTTTGCCATCCAATAAAAAATGGGCAACACATTTTGCATTTCAAAATATTTAAAAGTCTATTTATGCACAAACACTGTAGGAAAAATTACTATGATCCTGAATTTTTAATTTCCCCACAATTTCTTTGATCTCAGTCAAGACTGTGATTGTCACTTTTTTATGATTTTGCTAATTAAAAGTAAAATTAAAAGTGTTTTGCATATTCAAATCATGTGTGATTTTTCCTGACTTCAGGAGAGGATTTGATTCCCAGGGAAGATTCATTGCTAAATATAGGAACACTTTAGTAATATATATTCATAAAAATACATAAACATTCATATATATGAATAAAATACTTGGTCATTGTGCATTGAATATTATGGAAAACGTTTCCATGATCATATTGATCTATGGCTGTTAATTTTTAATATTTTTATGAATAGGAAAATCATTTAAATTAATTCTTCCAAAAATATGTTTTAAGGTATGTTGTAAAGATATTTCTAAGTTTAATTAGTACAATTAATAGTCTAAGTAGAAAATGTATATTAATAAAGGTAAGAGGATTTTCTTCACAGATGAAAATAATACTATACCAAGAAATTTCATTAGTTTTAAACCTGTTGTTTGGTTAATCTAATGTCCTTTCTTTATTAAAGCAACATATGCTCATTGATAGTTTTCTGTAAGAATATTTATAATGAACAGCTCCACTTTTATATTCGTTTTAGAAAGTGAATCATAGTTATCAGTAATGAGTTAAAGAAATAGTCACAGATTCATCATCAAACAAGAAGACAGTGTGGAATGCAGTATTCTCTTTCATCCATTATCCATTGTCATTAGCAAATACATTTGAGGTTACTTTCCCATAGTAGAAAAAAATTATTCTTCTTTCATAATTCAGTCTGTGAATGAATTCTCCTCATGCAGATGACACCCATTCATGAAAATATAGTCTGTTATTAGTGGAAAGAAGACCACATTTGCCGTTAGAGGCATCACATTCAAATCCTAATCATGTTTCCAACTATGTAGCTTTTGTTCAATCATTTAACTTTTTGCAGTTAGGGTTTCCTCGTCTGTAAGCAGTGAAATAAAAGTGCCCTATCTATACTGCAAGGTCATAATAAAAATAAAAAAAAATAATAGCTGTAAACTGTTGGTAAGCATATATTAGTATGCAAATTAATATTCTTTAGTATTAATTATTGGAATTAGAAGACAGCTAAGTTCCTGGTGCTGAGAAAGAGTCTTGTGTAAAGCTAATTAGCCCCCAAGGGATTTGAATCTGTGACCTTGTATTAATTAGCCCCTAGTCAAACCAACTAGTCTACATGCCCAAACTATATACAGTACTTCTTCTTTGGATATATTTATGATGAAATATAGGTTTTCATTATTTTTGTAGAGTATTTCAAAAAATCTTGAATGATGCCAACTTTTCTATCCTTGATGTATTAGCAGTACTAGTTGCTGTCCAGACTTTGTAATGCTTACCAAAATGTACACAAGTCTTTTATATGTACTATTAAAGTATAAAATCTTAAGGCTTCAAAAAGGCATATGCAGGGGAAGTTTTGTTGTTCAGCGGTAGAGAGCTCGCCTCGCACATGCGAGACCTTGGGTTCGATCCTCAGCACCACATAAAAATAAATAAGTGAAATAAAGGTATTGTGTCCAACTCCAACTAAAAAATAAACATTTAAAAAATGGCATATGTAGTCTTTTTTTTTTTCTTTTCTTTCTTTTGTACCAGGAATTGAACCTGTGGGTGCTTAAATATTGAGTCACATCCATCCACAGCCCTTTTTAAAACATTTTATTTAGAGATAGTGCCTCTCTGTGTTGCTTAGGGCCTTACTAAGTTGCTCAGGTTCACTTTGAACTTGATATCCTCTTGTCTTAGCCTACCAAGCTACTGGGATTACAGGCATGTGCCACTATCCCCAGAAAGCATATATAATCTTAAACCACAAATGTCTACTGTTTGTATACTTTCTGCTATATTTTATTCTAAGGTTAAACTCATACCATTTATTTTTCAGGGCCATGGATCCTTGAATTCATCAGGAACTCCAGGTCCTCCTCCTCCACCACCTCCCTTGCCAGGTATTGGCCCACCACCACCTCCACCACCTGCACCTCTACCTGGAGCTCCTCCTCCTCCACCACCTCCATTATCTGGATTTGGGGGTATTCCACCACCACCACCACCACCTTTATTTGGAGGACCTCCTGCACCACCACCCCTCGGAGGAATGTCTTCTCCCCCAGGAATGCCACTTGATCTACCTTATGGTATGAAGCAGAAGAAAATATATAAACCCGAAGTGTCCATGAAGAGAATCAATTGGTCAAAGGTAATTGTTTTAGTCAACTTTTCATCACCATTACCTAAAGATCTGATAAGAATGAGGAGGAGAAATTTGATGCTCATGGTTTCAGAGGTCTTAGTCCATTGATGGATGATTCCTTTCCTCTGGGCCCAAAGTAACATTATGGTAAAAGAGTATGGAGTAGGATAGCAGTAAGGACATGGCACATATTAAGCAGAGAAAGAACTCTGCTCACTAGGGACAAAGTATAAATAGCAAAGGAAGACCCATGTGTTGCACTTCATGCCACTACACCCTAACTATCTATAGTTACTACCCAGTTAATCCTTGTCAGTTCATGAATCTACTGATATAGTTACAACTCGCATATCTAATTCTTTCTCCTCCAAACAATTTTGCATCACCTCACATGTAAGCTTTTGGGGGCACATCTCATACCTAAAACATAACAGTAATACTGTAACTATAGAGGTTTTTGTCTTTGTCTAGCTATGATTGACCATTAATGTGTTGAGTTCATTAGTACATGTAAGTGTTGCATAAAGTTTGAGATGACTAATGACTTGTGCTGCTTTCCTTTGGGAATTCACCATCTTATGTCCATCTTTCAGATTACTACCTAGATGAGTAGAATCCCCCCACACATAGTTTGAAATTATAAGGAAGGCAAAAGAAAAATTAAAAGTAGTATAGAGAATGCTATATGGAATATATCATCAAATGAAAAATAATTAAGATTTTTACCTCTGTTAACTTGAAGTAACATTTCTTAAATAAAATCTTTTCTGTTATTGAGCCTTGTTTTTTTTTTAGTTATTTTTACTCAGAAAGCAATTTTTTTTTGGTTTTAAGCTTTCAGATAATGTGCAGTAGCTGACAATATTCAGTGGTGATATAACTTAAGTATTTTTGATATTGTATATGAAAATATTTTCTTCTGAATGTTATTTTGCTTTGTTATTATTATCAAGTAATATGTTTTTTTAAAAAATTATTATACAGATTGTCATAGTTCTCATTCATTGGAAATTAATCTTCTAATGAGAATACATTTACCCAGAAACATGTAAAGCTGTATCTGAACGTGTCTGTGTATTAAGTTGTTTTGATTCAATTGATGATTCAGTTGTTTTTAAAGATTAAGCTCAAAAGAGCATATTAATTATAAATGGTTTTAGTGTATAGTTATTTGTAATTAGTCACAGTCCACCAAAATATATGATTCAGAATTTGTTAGTTCAGTTTTCTGTGTATATAAAATTAATGATAGGTTTGGTAATTTAGTGTACACTGGAATGATACTTAATGTATCACCAAAGCATCAAAATGTACTGAAAATGCATAATTCTAATTTTGGATTTGTTGTAGTAATATCACAATTCTATGGAACTATACTGCCTGGATTGAAAACCCAGCTGTGCCATTTACTAGCTTCAGCAGTTACTTAAACATTTTGGGGCTCAATTTCCTTCTCTTTAACATGGAGATAATAATAGGTCCTACCTTGAAGGACTATTGTGAGGATTAGATTAGTTAATATATGGAAATCACTTAAGACAGTAACTGACACATAGTAGGAGGTATGTTTAAGCTGTTATTATGGTTGTTGCCTTCAACGTAATCAAAGAACATGGAAAATTCAGTGGTGCTGTCTTACATTTCCTGTTTTCAAATAATTAGTGCATATAGAATATGTGTGAATTGAAGAAGGATTTACTAAATTATTCTTAAGACTCTTCAGTAGAAGAATTTTTAAAATGTAATTTTCTATATGGCCTATTGTTGTTGTATACTTTTTCTGCATGCCAACAGAATTTTGAGAGTTTTGCAATGAATATTTACTCTATGTGTGTTGTTTTGATAGATCCTAAAATTGCTTTAGTGGTAGATGAATAAAAGAATTGCCATTCAACTCTGTTGAAAGTGAAGTCTTTGAAAAATTTAATATGAAATAATAACTTAGAAACTTATCTTTGCTATTTTTGTCTCAGATCGAGCCTAAAGAATTATCTGAGAACTGTTTCTGGTTAAAAGTAAAAGAAGAAAAGTTTGAAAATCCAGATCTCTTTGCAAAATTGGCACTGAATTTTGCTACCCATATAAAAGGTACATCTTTTAAAATATATAAATTTCTGATTCTGATATATTGCAATTTAGCACCATGCCAAACATTTTTAGAAATGTATATATGTGAAATTTTTCCATACTGGATAGTGTCAAACAAATACATTAACAAATTAGCTGTATATTATCCAGTAAAGGAAAAAAAAAGAAAAAAAACTTTTTTTCCTTTGAATTTTATTTTGTATAAATGTTATTGTTCACCTGAAAATATAGGTTTTATCTTTTTGTGTTTAATATGTGTACTATCCCACATATTAAATTACAAGATTGTTAGTTTTCCTGAGGAACAGAGGAGACAAATTTGTTGATTCACCATGTAAGGGAAAATAGTTTAACAGAATACTAATGTCTCAGAAGTTTTCACAAAATTGGGATAAGATGTTGCCTTGGGGCTTACGTAGTCTTTTTCTTTTCCATTTATATCACTTACCAAGTTGGTTTCTTAGGAAATATCATAGTTTTTGTTATGGGTAGGTTTTCTGGATTAATATAAAAATCTGATGCCCAATAAGTATGTTTACTTATTTGATAATAGAGTACATTATTTATGATTAGATCCTTAACCTCTTGTGTATTTCATACATCTTTTTGATATTACTTTGTTAACTTCTCAATCTCTTGATTAATTATTGTGGTTCATGATTTCAGGTAATTGTCATTTCTGTTTCATAGTTACTACTAAATTGATAATTGAGAATAGAATTTTTCTGTCTGAAGGAGTCTTAACAGCTAAGAAATGGAAATATTCTGTACTCTTTTGCCCTTAGAATTAGCACTTTTGCCATCATTTGTCTGATTTGTCACACATGCCCTACAGTGTGAATTCTGGAAAATTTAGAGAGAGAAAGAGATGAAAATTATTTCTTTTTAGTTCTTTTAGCACATCTTGCACACTGGGAGTGCCCGTGTTCTATTTATTGTTTCTTATAGATTGAATTTTATACACACTTGCATCTGCACATGCTCGCGCACGCAGAGAAATCTGGGGTGGTTAGAGTATTCTGAAAATTTTTTACCTTAAAAAAATGTTTTGCCAGTAGTATTTTTTTCGTCATTCATCATAGTAGACTTCACATTTAAAAGGTTCTTCAGTGACTTCAGAAATAACTATTTATTATAGTCACTTCTTTAAATTGAAAACTTTCTAAAATAACAAATAACCCAATCAACAAATGGGCCAAGGACCTAAACAGACACTTCTCAGAGGAGGACATACAATCAATCAACAAGTACATGAAAAAATGCTCACCATCTCTAGCAGTCAGAGAAATGCAAATCAAAACCACCCTAAGATACCATCTCACTCCAGTAAGATTGGCAGCCATTATGAAGTTAAACAACAACAAGTGCTGGCGAGGTTGTGGGGAAAAGGGTACTCTTGTACATTGTTGGTGGGACTGCAAACTGGTGCAGCCAATTTGGAAAGCAGTATGGAGATTCCTGGGAAAGCTGGGAATGGAACCACCATTTGACCCAGCTATTGCCCTTCTCGGTCTATTCCCTGAAGACCTTAAAAGAGCGTACTACAGGGATACTGCCACATTGATGTTCATAGCAGCACAATTCACAATAGCTAGACTGTGGAACCAACCCAGATGCCCTTCAATAGATGAATGGATAAAAAAAACGTGGCATTTATACACCATGGAGTATTACGCAGCACTAAAAATGACAAAATCATGGAATTTGCAGGGAAATGGATGGCACTAGAGCAGATCATGCTTAGTGAAGCTAGCCAATCCCTAAAAAACAAATACCAAATGTCTTCTTTGATATAATGAGAGTAACTAAGAATAGAGCAGGGAGGAAGAGCAGGAAGAAAAGATTAACATTAAACAGAGACATGAGGTGGGAGGGAAAGGGAGAGAAAATGGAAATTCCATGGAAATGGAGGGAGACCCTCATTGTTATATAAAATTACATATAAGAGGTTGAGAGGGGAATGGGATAATAAACAAGGAGGGAAATGAATTACAGTAGATGGGGTAGAGAGAGAAGATGGGAGGGGAGCGGAGGGGGGATAGTAGAGGATAGGAAAGTTAGCAGAATACAACAGTTACTAATATGGCATTATGTAAAATTGTGGATGTGTAACCGATATGATTCTGCAATCTGTATTTGGGGTAAAAATGGGAATTCAGAACCCACTTGAATCTAATGTATGAAATATGATATGTCAAGAGCTTTGTAATGTTTTGAACAACCAATAAAAAAAGAAAACTTTCTTATAGCCAATTACTACTCAATTCTTATGATAGTTATTAAAATAATATTTGTGGTTAAAAAAAGAAAGAACTTTCCCTTTAATCAGATTTTTACCTTTCTTCCACAGAGAAAACCATTACTACCTAATTCCCACATTTTCTCTTAGGAATAATCTGTGCCTCTAGAAGCATATGATATTTATTATTTTTTGTGTTCTAATTCATGCTGTTTTCACTAAATGTACTTGTAGATTATTTTATGTGAACTTACATTTATTTACTGTGTTCTCTTTGCATACTGCTTTGCGTATTGCATTGCATTCTATGGTACGGAACTATCTTAATTCATTTCAGCAGTCCCCTATTGATGGTTATTCAGACTGGTTCTAGTATTTTACTTTTTCAAAAAAGTGGAGTGGCAACTCTGTTTAAACATGTACTTTTGTGTACATACATGAGAATCTCTAAGATAAATTCTAGAAGTGGAATTTCCTGAAAAAATGTTTTCTACATTTAAAATTTTTATATTATGAATTTTCCTGCCATGAAGTTTGTGTCTATTTATGGGGTCATCAAGAATGTATTTGGATACAGGTTGAACATTCCTAGAAATAAAAAAAAGGTCACTGTGATTAAAAGGTCAATTCAAGGAATGTATGAAAATTATAAATATATATGCATGCAACATAAAAAAGAACATTCCTAATCTGATAAATTCTGAAAAATTTTGATTGCCAATATAATGTCACATGTAGAAAATTCAATGCCTGACCTCTGTTACAGTTTGCAGTCAAGACACAGGCACACTATAATTATTGAATAAAATTATCTCAGGCCACATGTATAAGCTATACGTGAGCCAAAAATGAATTTCTTGTTTAGACTTGGGTCTCCTCCTCAAGATATCTCATTATGTATATGTATTTCCTAATTTGAAAATAGAATATGAAATCCAAAACACCTCTGGTCCCAAGCATTTTAGAAAAGGGATCTTATGCACATCTCCTTCCCTATAGCCATTGTCTATCTCAGAGGTGAAAATAGTAAGTCATGGATGTTATAATTTTTATTTTTTAAGTCAGAAGTGAGGTTGAACAGTTTTTATCCTGTTTATAGGCATTTTTTGACTTCTTTTTCTTTGAACTTCCTCCTCCATTTCTTTGTACATTTTCTATTGACCAGTTGCTGTTTTGCTTGTTGATTTATTTGTATTGAGCATTACAAGAAACATAGGTTTCATAAAATTTTAGTTAGCCTGGACCACACAACCAATTAAACACTGACTATTTTACTAATGAATAAACTCAAGTAAGAGACAGAGAAGTTAGTGTAAAACTCAGTGTAGTAGAGAGTTTCCAAATGTAATGTGTTAAGAGTAGAAAAAGCCAGAGTTTATAGAGTCATATCTTCTCCCTTTCTGGCTTTGATACTTGTAATATCAGTTACTAAATTTTATGATTCATAAAATAAATACACTGATGTTTACTTAGTAGTATTGTTAGAATTAAATAAAATTATATATTTAAAGTACCTAGCATAATGATTGCCATCAAGCATGCACTTAATAAAAATTAATTTGCTTTTCCCTCTCATTTACCTGATACTGTTTATACGTGTGTGTGTGTGTGTGTGTTATTGTTGTTGTTTTGACTATTGTCACTTAATACAACTGTTAATTCAGCAGGAGATTGTCTTCCTCTTCTTTGTAGCATGTGCTAGAGCTAACCAGTTACAGCAGAAGCAGTCTTTAAGGCTGCTATCAAAACCTGATGAAACCAAAGTAAATCCAAACAAATATCATATAAATGCTCTCAATTACTCACTGCTGTGAATGTTGCATTTTTATTTGTTTTAATTTAATTCTCTAAGTTTTTTATGTTAACACTACTCCTAGTTCCCTTACTTTGAATATTTAAGTACAAAGCAGGATGGGGCATCATCCCTTTCACCAAGAGTTATTTCTGAAGGGACATTTAAGGGATCAATTAACCATCATAGAATATTCTAGATATCCACAGCATAGCCAAAATAAGTTTTAATGATAGAAAACTGCCATTTTTTTTTTGTAACACTCAATAACTATTGATTGGTCTTCCTGTAATATCTGAAGTCCCTTGTCACTTGCAGTGCCTGGATTCATAATTTGGTCAATAGGTGGCAGGCTCAGTAAGAAATCAGCAGGAGGCTCTGGCTCCAGCAAACTTAAATAGCACTGCCTTGGCTTCCCTAGCTCTAGGGCACCACTTTATTCCCCATTATGCTTCTCATTGCAGTTCATTCAGCTGTATTCTGGAATGAGCAACACACCCGTTGTTTCTAAGACCTATTTCTAAAGCTCTTAGACTCAGTGTTCCAAAACCTTTGAGAACATTCCTCTCTTGCAAGGGCATTGGAGAGTTCACATCTCTCTTCTTGCTAAATGCACTGTAAAGCATCACTAGGCTGTTTGCAAAAAAAAGTTAAAAATTTTAGAATATCTTAGAATTGTTAAATAGAAGTTTTAAAATACACTAGTTCTGATATGTCTAATATTCAAGTGTTTAAATATTTAATATATGAAAGAACCATAAATTTTACTATTGAATTATTTTTTAGAGTTTTAGAGAAAATTACTTTTAATATTGTGTTAAAGATAGATTGTTTCTGTTTTAGCAAAGAATGACTCTTTTATTTCATTTTAGTTTGTAGAGTACCTAATATGTGCAAATTACTAAGCTAAATAGGAAGGAAAAATAAATAAAATCTTCATTTACTAGGGTACCCATAATCTATTGAGGG